ACAAGTGATTAGGTCATATAGCTTTTCTTCCTTAAGTTTTCTGAAGGTTTTTCCGTGGCAGGTATACATTTTCATTTCCTCCAATGGTGCATAAGAGTTCTAATTTCTCTACTTCCTTGTCAACTTTGATAACAGTGATGTTGATAAACTTGAAGTCATTTTGTACTTTTTTATTTTCCTGGATAATTAGTGACATTGAGCACCTTTAATATATCTATTGGCTATTTCTGTATCATTAGAGACATGTCTCTTCCTTAACCCCTTTTTTCATGAGTGTTATTAGGCTTTATAGTTTGAAATTGTGGTTCTGAATATATTTTAAAGACACATTCCTTATTAGAAGTGGTTTAGTTTGGTATGATCTAGTTGTTAACTGTGCTTTTGGGTCATATCCAAAAATTACTGCTAAAACCAACCCCTTTCGTTTTTCTGGGTTTGGTTTATGGGTTTACTAATGTTAAAATAAGTTAATTTTTGTGTATGATGCCAAGTAAGGATCCTACCACATACTTTTTCAAGACTAGCTTTGAAGTCACTGTCCCCTATCCACTATGAGTTTTTGGTACCCCCATAGAAGAGTTGGTTCTACATGCATTCATTTATCTGGCTGTCATGTTCCACTGGCCTATTTCTCAGCCTTAATGACAGAGCCATATTATTTTGTCTATTGTTATTGTAATTTTGTGATTGATTTTGAAACAAAGAAGTGTGGTACTATCACCTTTGCTCTTTTTCCCCAAGACTGATATGGTTGTTTGTTGTCTTTTGTGGCTCCATATGAATTTTAGCATCATTTTTTTTCCAGATATGTTAAAATGTTACTAGACTTTTCTTAGGCATAACAGCAAATCTATAGATTGCTTTGGGTGCTATGAACATTATAGTAATACAAGTTCTGATTCATGAACATAAGGTATCTTTCACTGTATCCTCTTAATTTCTTTCATTGATGTTTCTTAGCTTTTGGTATACAAGTTTTTCACTTCTTTTGTAAGATTTAAGCCTAAGTATTTTGTTTCTTTTGTTGCTGTGAGAAGTGGGATTGTTCTCCTGAATTGTTTTACAGATAGTGTGTAGAAAAGCAAGTTAACTTTTGTGTATTGATTTTTATAGACTGCGATGTTACCAAATTATTAGTTTAAAAAGATTGTCTTGGGGATCTTTAGTTTTTCTCTATATAACATCATGTCCCCTACAAATAGGAAGAATTGGATTACATTTGATTTAGAGGTGCCTGTCTAGAAAATGAGCTGCCAGCCATGAAGAAGTTGAATTACTTTTTTGAGCTAGTTTTTTTTTTTTTTGTCTTCTTGTTCTTTTGGTCTTCTTATGATACGCTGAGAATGAGGAAATCGTGACATTCAACATCCCAAACTCCCATCTCTGTTCTCCATGAGAACTGTAAGACTTGAAAATCACCACCAATCTTCTGGAGACCCAAGTAGAAAACATGAGGTGCTGGATGTGTGCCCCAGCATCTTCCCTTATCTCAGAGAAAGTGGTAGACATGGGTTTTCTCTTCGTTGCTATGTTGAGTATAGGGATTCTGGCTTCAAGGAGTCTACTTTATTATTTGCCTAGGATGTGAAGTATTTCCATTAGTTTCTGTACTTTGTACAAAAGAAACTAAAGGGTGAATTGTTGCTAAATTTTATATCAGAGGAAGGGAGAGGATGATCCAGGTTTTCCTACTCTGTAAACTTGCTGACATTATCCTTTTCTGATGCTTATAGTTTATAACATTCTTTTTAAAACCACTTTTTAAGATTGAGAAATTCTGAGTTGAATTTTTGATCTGGGGAGAGGCTCATAAATACAACAGAAAAACTTTAAGGTAGTTTTTCTTTAGCTTTATTTCCTATGATTAACAAAAATTCATTTGGGCTATATTTTCTTATTGATACAATGATCTATCTGATATGTCAAGATAATCTTTTTTCTAAAGATATAAATGAAACTAATCTATTGTAAAGTTCTATTTAAGTAACAGTTTTGAGGTATATTACATTTGAGTTATTATGTTGATTTTGAAAATATTACTTCATTTTACCCTAGCATCTGGTATAGTTATTAGCAAGTCTGATGTCTATTGGATTTTATTTTCTCTAGAGGCTATATGGTTTTTCTCTCTTGAAATATAAAAATAATTCTCTTCATGTTTGATATTCTTACATTTCATTATCATATGCCAACTTGAGGGGTTTGCTACCATCCATTTGGTAATCTGAATTTTTTAAAGTTTTCTTTCATTATTTCTAGAAAAACCAATTAAAGCAGCTTTCTTTCCTATTTGATTTTAATTTTCTAGGCACTTGATTAAATTATCACCAGGTTTTTCTGATGTTATTGTCTGTGCTTATTAATGGTTTAATATATTTTCTTTTTACCCTTCTCCCTGATACTTTCTGTGAGGATTTCTTGCTCTCCTCCATTTTTTGGCAGTACTAGATTTTGAACCCAGGGCCTTCCACTTGCAAGGCAGGCAATCTGCTGCTGAACCACATCCCCAGCCCTCTTTTGTGTATAGGTTATTTTGAGACAGACTCTCATTTCCTGTCAAGGTATATCCTATTATAGGGCTGTATCCTACCATTATGGATAAGATAACAGGTAGATGACACTACATCTAGCTTTCAGAAGGTAGGGGAGGGGGTTTTCTCAAAAACTTTCCTGCCCAAGCTGGTCTCAAACCTCAATTATCCCAATTTTAGCCATCTAAGTATATACTATTACAGATGTAAGCCACTGGTATCTAGTTATGAGAGTTTTTATATGAAATAATTTGGATAATTTACATATATTCCTACTATATTTTCTTTTTTATCCAACTTATCTAACATACTTTTTATTTCAACTATTATCTTCTTCATACCTCAGAGCTGCTGCCTCTATTGGTGGGGATAGAGAAGGTGCTGAGAGTAATTTCACCAGGGAGGGGCCTTTTGGGTTGCCCTCTTGGTGCAGACACTGTATTTTTGCTTTGTTTACCCTTTGACCTGGTGACTGAATTTCAGGGAGTCTGTTTGTCTTGTACAGCTTTGCTATACTTAATCAGTCCTAGGGATTCTCAGAAGACTGTCTGAGTAAGGAATGATCGGCTCCTTGATCCACCTGGGCTTATTGTACAGATTGTCCACAATGCGTGCTGCCATTTTTCTAGCTTTCAGTAATATTGGGGTGAAGAATTTGGCACTCATGGTCATGCATGTGAGGAAAATGATAAAACCAAGTCCCTTAGCATATTTCTTACATGGCATGTTATTCATTCTTCTTCTTTTGGCTATAATTACCACTCTCCTCAACAAATAGAAGTATGACTTGATTTTAGTTTACCAAAAGTCTTTCTCTATCCTTTAGCATCTCAGATCTAGAATTCAGTTTCTACTTCTGAGGCACCTTCTATGTTGGGCTGAGGATCTGTAAAGACAGAGGGTCATGGTCTCCTCTGGGGAGGGGATTAAAGGCAGAAAATAAGGGGTAGTTGAGCCCAGATTATAACAGCAAACAAAATCCATTCTACTAAGTACTCCCAGAAGCAGCTCAAGCTAGTATGCTGAATTAGTTACCTCCTAATATTATTTCACCACTTTATCACAAGTTAGAATTTTCTCTATTCAACTTTTAGAGGTGTTCTTTGCCTTCAATTAACTGATTTAGTAAGGTAAATGGCTCAATATTATAAAGAACACTAAGCTTGAGGAAAAATAAAAGTGTTAAGAGAAAAAAAATCACTATATATCCATTTAACTAAAAAAAAACAGTAAAAGAATTATGTTGTAATACCTAAGCTTGAGATAAAACCAGGTCATTACTATAATCATTACTATATTACTTCAGTTTGTGAGTCAGACTGCACAAAGATAAATGTTTGTGTGAGACTTATAAGCAGTTGTTGCTCATGTTGACTGACAATGTCTTAAATATTTGTGTACCTAGTACAAGTTTTCTAGAGCAACAAAATATCAAGTCAGCTCCTTTAGAAAAGATTCAGAAAAACTTACCAAGGAACACCATTCTTAGTGATTTTCTCATGCTAGTCTCCACTACAGAAGTTCTCCCAGGTTGCTAATCATTAAGCCTGAGAAAATGCAAGTGATAACTTACTGTTCAGCAAGTTATACTTACTGCTTGGCACAGGTGGCTTATCCCAAAGGCCCATTCTTTAAAATGTCATTGTCCAATAATATATTTCAGATTACTGCAGTATGCATTTGGTCACCAGGAAGCCAAGGATAGGAAGATACTATACCAAATAATCCTATGATGGAGCACAGTGTTTACCAGCTGTATATTTTGAGGTCCACAGGGAGATAAGGATTTGTGACGTTGTGACAAAGAGAGTAAGTTGTTTTCCAGAGGAAAAAAAAAATGGTATTAATCTTTCCAAAGTTTACCGCTAAGGGGTGCAAGCATGCAGGGCTATACATTATTGCTTGCTCTCGTGGTGGCAAGAAACGTGCTAAAATTGCTTTAAGGGAAAGATTCAAGTGGATGTAAGAGAATCTGTAGAAGCTTTAGGCTCAAGCTTTAAAATTCTCTTTCTATTCACTGCTCGGCCTTTCTTCCACTTTTCCTCTCCCTTTCACTTTTTCACATTAAAACCTGAGGCTCTTAACTCTACAAATTTATGGAAAGAAAGACAAGGAAAACGGAAGGGAGGGAAGAAGGGGTGAATGTAGGGAGAAAGGAAGAGACAGAATAAATACATTCTTGTAAGGAGAACATGTATTTTTGTGTAAGGAGTTTAAACAACTATTTTGATAGAAGACTATGTTTTGCTCACTACCATTTTCTGGGTTCATTATTGTGGTTGACCATGGAAACAAAAGGTATTTGGGATGGAAATGTGATTTAATTCCTATGCAAATTTTGTTGATAACAATGCATTAAAGGGATACTGGGGAGAAAAGGACATCTGTAGCTTTTCTGTGCTGTGCTGCTCTCACATTTGAAATTCCTGCATGCTTGGGCTCTGGACCTTGTCTGTTGGCTCCACCTACCTTTCCTTGCAAGGTGCACCGCTTCTGCATGCTCTGCACTGGTGACCTCCGTGCCATTGACAGAGAGCACCACATCTCCAATCTGGAGCCCGGCTTCCTCCGCAGCACTGTCTGCAAGTACATAGACAATGGTCTCATTGAAGGAGGGTCCCAAATTGAGTGTCCTGCTGTTTGTATTCTTTAAAAAAGGCTCTTTCTCTAAAGGGCCTTTCTTTCCAACTTTAGACAATTGCCTGTGTCATTTATAAGAAGGAAAATGCTTTCCTCTCAGCCTCCTTTTCATTCCCAGGACTCACACATTCAGCCAGGCCTCTGAGTGGCCCCTTTGCAATATAATAGTCAAGCTGCTCAGAAACTCAATCTATTGAGTTGAACCGTTAGTTCTCATTCCCTCATTGCTGCTAAGGATCTTTGTAACCCTGAGAAAATCACTTAACCTCAGTATCTTCATCTGTAAGAAGAGGGTGGAGCAGAGCTTCTTTGCAGGATTGTTGCAGGAACAAGTAATTGAAATACTTATGAAGTTGTGGCAAAAACAGATCTAGGGTGGTCAGAGGGAGAAAAAAAAAGAAATAAAGAGCAGCTTTTACTCTCATTGTTTAGAGTCTTCCTGATCCTTTTCAGAAGGGAAGCCAAAAATAACTTAAATCCTAGGACTTGGGATGTGGAAGCTGAGGAGGACCTTCCCAGAGGTTATTTCTTTATCCCTTGGATTTCTAGCATCTACACTGATTTCCTGAAACACATCTAATATTCTCTAGGGATTAAAAAGATGTAATAAGCCATTTGAATGTGCATTAATTTTATTCAGGCCTTCTATACACTTGCCCAACATTCCTCTTGCAACAAGTTAAATCTATATTTTCTTTTCTTTTCCTTTAGATGTAAGCCATTTTCTCTTTCTTATGTAATAATGTTGAATGCAGGTGTACTGCACTGTTCGTTGGCTTACAATGTGGCGATTACAGAATTTCATTTTCTAGACTATCATAAACCTCAAAGAAATTTTAGAAAATGTTAAAATTAAAATCAGTTTTAAGCATTACTCAACTGGTGAGGTAACATGACTTAGAGTATTTTAAGTAATGGTGATAGTTCGTCTGTGCCTATTTACAATAGGAGAAAAAGCTCTGTTTGACAAACAATGGTCCATCAGTATAGGAAGGCAAATAAAGGGTAATATTTGATATTTCCATTTGTTTATATAATATCATATTTTTAGTAAAGTCTCATGGTATGGTTGAATACTTGATTTTTTTTGGGGGGGTGGTGCTTGACTTCTGGGCCTGGGCGCTGTGTCTGAGCTCTTCAGCTGAAGGGAAGTGAGTGCTCTGCCACTTGAGCCACAGTGCTACCTCCAGTTTTCTGGTGGTTAATTGGAGATACGATTCTCAAGGACTTTCCTTCCTGGGCTGGCTTTGAACTGCAATCCTCAGATCTCAGCCTCCTGAGTAGCTAGGATTACAGGCACGAGCCACCGGCACCAGGCTTCCGCCATAGTTTTAAAGGGTATAAAGAACTATGACAATGCCTTTTGGACTAAGTTCTAAAACGACAACACATATGCAGAGAATGTTGTAATATCTAGTTTTAGGAAACTTTAAATTCCATTTAGAAGGAAAATATGTCTGTAACCTCAAAAGAAAAATATATTTGTAAGTCAGCAAGTGACAAGTGCAAAATAAACAACAAAGACAATAAGTATTATGAAATACTGAAAAGGAAATTTTCACTATCATTTGCAATAGTTACAAAAGGCTCTTCTGTGTAGGCTCACAGTAAGACAGTTATTTTCAGACTCTTATAAATGCTTGCTAACCATTGGATTGTGACTAGAAGTGAATTGTGTCACATCAAGGATCACTACTTTACAAATGAAGAAAAAAATTAAATCATGAAAAATGTGAGGTGAAAATCATACACCAACCAAGAACATCCATACTGGACTATTAATAACTTTTTTTCACCTTATGTCTTCAATATTCTTTTGTTATCAATTTAGAATAGAACAATCCGCAAGTCCAGCAAGAAAAGTATTCTGAGCAAAGGTAAGGATGTAGAATGTCGAAAAGTCAAGGATTCAGTTCAATCTGAACAGAGGTTGTGGGCAAATAGAGTTGGCATTTATGATAAGTAGGAAATGTTGCAGAAGTATAAGGAACATAAAAGTGTAAATGCAGATTTTGTACTTGTTTCTTCAACCATAGAGAGCCATTAATGATTATGAACAGAAATACAGAGGCTATGGGTTTTAAAATAGGGAGAGATATAAGCAGGGCATCATTGACGTTACTACTGCATTGATATGGAACTATATAGTATGACTCTGGAAATGGAAAGTAGAAATGAGGAGAAGGCACAGGCATTGGTTATAGGACCTGAAATATTTCATTGTAGTTATGAACTGGAAGCACTTCATAGACAATACAATTTGTTTCTTATTTTAGAATTTCCCATACTTAGCTAGCATAAACTCTGACATATGGTAGTTGGTTGTTTAAAAGTTGGTTGGATATATGTGTTTGTTTTTGATGTACAAAAATAACTATGGAAGAGAACATGAAAGTGAGCAGAGAAGTGTAGATTACTGAAGACAAAATGCTGAGGAATAATCACCTTTATGGAGAGAAAGAGGAGGCAGGAAAGGACCAAAAAACATAAAGAAGAAACAGATTGATCATAGAGATAATAGATTTAAGAGTATAAAATCAGCTACTGAGAAAAATTTCTGGCTAAAAGAGGATATCCAGAGGACTCTACTGGGGTCACCAAAGTAATGATAATAACAGCATTTTTAATCCAAGACAATTTGAACAGTTGTGCCGATCAATATGTTAGATGGTGATTAAAGTTATAAATTATTCATCGCATGTGTCTAGTTTCCTCTCCCTTGTAAAATTTCCTTTTAAGCAGTTTTTATTTCTTCAAAGGATCTGTCAATATGGAAGTATTTCTTTACAAAAATTTTATTGAATTTTATAGAATTTACATATCATATATTACACCCATTAAGCTGTACAATTTGGTGTTTTTAGCTTATTTGTAGAGCTATGCAATCATCACCCCAATCTAATTTTAGAACACATTTTGTCATTTATTCCAGAAATAAAGTCCATAATTAGTCATGTTCACTCCCTATTTCCCCTCCAAGTACTCTGTACCAGGCAGCTAGTAGTCTGCTTTTTGTCTCTCTAGACTTGCTTATGCTGGAGTTTTCTTATAAATGGATTCATAAAATATGCTGTCTTTTGTATTTTGTTCTATTTATTCTGTTTAATAGTTTCCATATTTCTATGTTGTCATCTCTGCTATATTATCTTTTAATTGATGAACAATATTTTCTTGTAAGAATATAGCATATTGTTTCCATTCATCAGTTAATGGATATTTTGTTTATTTCTATTTCTTGGGTATGAAATACATCTTTTATAAATATGTCTACAAAAGTTTGGATTCTTTTTTTTAATTTTTGATTGTTTTGTCAGTTATGGGGCTTGAACTCTGGGCCTGGGTGCTGTCCCTCAGCTCTTCAGCTGAAAGCAAGCGCTCTACTACTTAAGCCACAGTGCCACTTTTGGTTTATTGGAGATAAGAGTCTCAGGGAGTCTCCTGCTTGGGCTGGCTTTGAACTGTGACCCTCAGATCTCAGTAGCTAGGATTACAGGTGTGAGCTACTGGCACCTGGCTAAATTAATTTTTTGTGGGCATATATTTTCATTTCTCTTGGTCATGTTTTTAGAAATGTAATTACTGTTTCAAACGGAAACACTAGAAATAAGTTTTCAAAGAACAGTTAGGCTATTTTCCAAAATGTTTATAGAATTTAATATTATCATCAGAATTGTATTCTTGCCAGAATTTGTTATCTGGCCTTTTATTATAGGCATCTCGGTGGTTATAAAGTGGCATTTCTGTGGTTTTGATGTACATTCCTCTGATGACAACTGCTGTCAAATATTGTTCATTTGTTTATTAGTTATTTGTATATATTCTTCCGAAAAATAGCTAATCAAGGATTCTGTTCATTTTATAATTGTGGTATCTTTATGTTATTGAGTTATGTGAATAAAATTATTCCTGAAGTGTAACTCTTCTGGATAGAATTGATGTTAACTTTAATTATAGATAAAGTTGATTATGTTACTCTATTTTGTAATGCAACTTACAAAATTTTCTTTTACCTATGAATTATAGTTGGACTTGAAACATAACTTTTTGAGGAAGTGTTTCAAGGTAATACTATAACATACCAAACAGATGTTTGCTATTTTTGGTACTGGCCTTGGAAGTAGACAGAAGCATTCAGGAATGAATGTAGTTGGAAGAACACAAGACAATGGTTTTGTAATTTTACATTTCTCCACAAAGAGTATTCAAGTGTATAGGTCTAAGTTTACTATGAAGATCTAAATGCTGAGTTACTTCATCTTTTCATGGTATTTGCATATAATGAAAAATCTGAAAACCATATGATTGAAAAAAATGATCTGGTACTTTCTATTTTAAAACACTTATACTTTAAGAGCAGCATTTTAAATTCTAGGGCTTCTAAAATGATGGGACTCAGTTATAATTTCCTCTATGGTTTGTCTTTCCTTAAATGTATAGTTTTCTTTTCAAGTTTGCTTGGTATCAAAGTTGAAACATCTGTTTCTTTTGTTTGTGCCAACAGATCTCGCAAGCATTTAGGTTTTCATAGAAAATGTTCATGCAAATGCCAGCCGGGTGTGGGCAATTAGTTATGTAAGCTCACAGCAAGCTCAGTCTCTATATACTTACAGATAATCATTTCCATCCCACCTACAGGTCTCCTCGCTTTATCTTTTATCTACAGTGTGTAATTAAGCCTCTTTACTGCATCCAGAACAATGTTTTATCGTGTGAATAAGATCCTCAGAAGGGCTGAAAATATGTATAATTTTTAAGTCCCTTAACCCCTCATTTAGTAGATTTGAGTAGACAATGCGTTTCAGAGGATGCTCTTCATCACAGAAGACTACATTTAAAGAAGAGAAGTAGACTCAGCAGCTATGTGAGACTTTGTCAGGACTGCACTTTCTTCTGTTGAATAAAACCTCATGTATTGCACCATTTCTGCTAGAGTAAAGATGTGCTCAGCTTTTCCTACTGCACAAACCTCAAGATCTCCCAACAAAACAACTATTTCCTGTATTACTTATTTCACATTTGAATGATGGAGATACAGCTAAGTGCCTCAGCTGAACAATTAATATAAGGGATCAGAAATTGTCATACATTTTATTAAACCAAATTTACTTATTTTTATAGAAAGGCAGGTATAAAAAGCGCACATAAGTTTGTGATAAAACAATATTGAACTTATAATGTCAGGCCTATTTGATTTTTAAAGTGTAATATATTACTTATAAATTCCTTTGTTTCTTGGAAGACTAATCTAGTCAAGTTAGAGAGTGAAATGAGGGGTAAAGCTTGGTAATGGAAAAGAAAAGATAGGAGAGAGGATGTGGAAAGTAGAATTGAACCTGTCAAAGGTCTATTAATACATTCTTCATGAATAAACATTCGTTATTTTTAAGACAATTTCTTTAAAACTATAGTAAAGCATTCTGAAGCCACATTATGCTAAAAAGTTGCCTGTCTTTGTGTGTATAAAATATAAGCAAGATAATGCACAATTATTTTGTTTTATTTGAAGGGCACGAAGGGGACAAGTTGACCCTAAACAAAATGGACAATTTTTATCTTTTAACATCTGAGCCCTGTCACCAAGTCCTTCTGTAACTTTCAGTGCTCACTTGTTTGTGGTTTACTCTTTCAGCCCTGAATCCCAACAATGGTGGAGGAAGACTAGATCCTTTCCTTAGTTACTATTTTTAATAAAAATATACATATATTATAGTTATAATATATGCATATATGCTCAACTATGTATAAAAATATGTATAAATGTGTATCGCATATATATTTCATATATTTATACATGATACACTAAACTTTATTTGAAACTCATTCACACCAAAGGAAGACTATAACATGTGTTTGCATCTGAATATCTCATTATAGAATAAAATGCTTTTCTCTTGACTAAAATAACTTTTAGTTTAAATTTGACCCTTGGCTTTTGAATATAATTGATTACATTTTCTAAAAAAATTGTACTAAAACATAAACAACTATTAGAATTTTTTAGAATTTTTATTTTGACTATACCTATAGATAAATTTAGGAAATAACTGACATTTAAAAAAAGACAATGCTTTTCTGTTAATTTAGGTGTCCTCTGATTTCTTCTTTTATCTTGGAAATTTGGAAGTACTAATCTTTGTATTTTATTGGAATTATTTTATAAATTCTCATATTTCCCCAAGGCTTCCTATCCATATTCTTTATGACAATTTCTACACACAGCCCAGAAATACTCGTTGTGGGGACTAGAACAGACATAAAGCCTTTAGTTGCCCCCAAGTTTTAACCCATCTGATCTCAAATTGAGACCATATTCCACAGGATTGCTTCCAGCCAGAGACTAACCATGGGAGGGATGGCAGAGAATGGGTATTGGGGCTAATTGGGAAGTGGAAAAGAAGGGGAGGGTGGTGTCCTTCAATGGATATGCTTTTCTAGACCAAATACTTGTTCCTGATTGACCTGCCTCAGAATTTGTCATAATTGGACTGTGAAGTTTGAGCCTCTCCTTTATCCAGTCCTGCTTATTTTCATCTTTCAGGTGCATGATCTGAAGACTGTTGTTCTTAGCACACTCTCTTTCCTTGTCTGGTCACAATGATTTCCTCTAAACTCTTGTACATTTATTTTCAGTGTATTTGAAGCTAATTGGAACTGAGAAAAAGGAATTTCCTATTTCATTTTAAAGTCATTTGTATATGCGCCCAAATCTCCTTTAATTTAAAAATTTTAAAGTATCTATATATGCACTTTTATGTCGAAAATAAGAACTAAAGGGATCAACAACACAGAGGAAGGTCTGGCTTTAAAGAGGAACAGGAAAGAAAGAAAAGATACAAGCTCAAGCACATTTGGAAGTGCAGTGATGGGATTTCTGGAAAACAGAAAATAGTAAAGATGATCTATTCTTAGAAGTCTGAGAGAGGCTGAGGTAGGAAAGTAGATTGGAAGAGAATTCTAAAATTTTGATGATTACATTGGATCAACTTGTAGTTTATGTTTATTAGACTGGATTGGACTTACAGTGCCTAAACAGAGGTCAGGTGTCTTTATTGCTAAGAAAGAAGACAAAAATTTGGATTTGATTCAGAACTCAATGTGAGAGGGAAAGATATGTTGGTAAGGTAAATTGAATAGAGACTACTGAAAATGTTATTTTAGATCATTAAATGACTGAGCTCTGCTTATCCTATAAACACTTTAGTATTAGAAACAATGTGATCCAAGTGTGGAGCTAAGAAGAATCCATGTGGTACTTTCACATATTTAATATTAGCTTGAGAAAAAATGAGGCCAAAATCAAGCCATAAAAATTCAAGATCATACTATGTTGGAAATGAACTTTACAACATGTGAGAGAGGGGAGCTGGGGAGCAGGAGGTGGGAAAAAATGAGGAAGGGGGTAACACTGTTCAAAAAGATTTATACTCATATTACTTATGTATCTAACCCCTGTGTACATCATAACCTTTACGACACAATTTAAACAAATTCAGTCATTAAAAATGTACAGAAGGATTTTTAAAGAAAACCACTCAGATTCAAGTACTAGCACATCAAGAAGAGCCCTCAGTGTGAACTACTGAAGCTTTGCCTGTCTGTGATTCTTGTTTTTGAGTCCTTGGGTACGGAGTGTAACTTGAATCAGTGTGGCTTGAGGCTGGGAGGTTATAGAGTTCCATTAGATCTCACATTACTGCCTTGTGTGGAAGCTTGTGGAAGGTAAAGATTCTGGTCCAGGGAGCACCCTGCTTTTCCAGAAATTCAGTCAAAATGCTCTTATTCCATTGCCTTTGGCTTTTGTGGTCCACAGGAGTCATAGCAAGCTAAGGATATTTGTATGGAAGTCTTCATTCTCTCTTTTCCCCTCCTCATCCTTTAACACTGTGAATTTTAATAGGAGAGCTACAACTGTTGAGATTGTTTGGACCCAAAGGGGAAGCCCATCACAAGAAGGGTCTGAAAACTTACGTATTTCATAAAATAGCTGAGCCACTGAAATAAATCATACACCGGTGTCATATCAGAACTTTCTACTTTTGTCAGTTAACTAGTCTCCTTCATTACTTAAAACACTCTGAGTCAGATGTTACAGTATTTGCAACAGAAAGTCCTGAATGAAATAAATTGTTGTGATAGGAGTCAGGTTTTATTTTTTTTAAATTGTGAAAATACCATACAGAGGGGTTACAATTACATGGGCAAGATAATGAGTACATTTCTTATCAAGCATTGTTGCCTCTTCTTTTGTTTCCCCTTCCCATTCCTTCCCATCTCCCTCCCCCCCCCCCCCACCCTCTCCCCACTAGAACTCAGGTTTTTAAGGCAGAAATTCTGACATCTGATTCTTGTTGTCATCATGGTTATAGATTAAAAAAATTAAAACAACTTAAGCAATTTGTAATCTTTAGCATGTTTTTTTTTTTCTGTTGAATAGATGTGAAAATACTAGGTTTTAAAGTTCTGTTATATAGATGGCCAAAGAGAATAAATCTCAAATGTTTTCTTTTTAGAATAGGTATCTTTGTGGTACTTTTGCATACCATGTGAAAATAATTGATTTCTGTTTTGATATTATCAATCAGTAAATTTATCCTTCAAACACAAATGAATATAAAATAGATATCTACTTAGTACTCAGATAGTCCTCTGCAGCATAGAGGAAACTGAACCTTTACATTTCACCAATCGGTGTACTTCCAGTTACTCATCAGACATTGTTTTCTAACAATGTTTTCCTTGGACATTGCATAAAGCATTGAGGATAAAATGGCAGGTAAAGCATGGTCTGATTTTGGGAAACTCAGACCAGGGAAAAAAACAGAAAAATAACTAGTAATAAGGTAATTCAGATGCTCCCAAGTTGCCCCGTGTCTCTTCTGTGATTATCTCTTACTTCTCCCATAATGCATCATACTGGCTATGATATACTTATCTTTTACTCTTACCAACCTTATTCTTACTATGAGTTTTTCAAAGCATTGATCTCAGATTCTTCTCATATAAGAAATCAGAAGGACAAAAATCCTTTCATTATATACGTGACTTTCTAATTAGCAAATATTATTAGCTAATTAGCAAATAATATTAGCAAATAAGCACATTGTATCAAATGTTTATGAATTCCTAATTTTCATATTAGGAAGTAATCATTTTTGATAAGTCATAGGGAAAACAGTTTAGAGAGAATATGACTCCTCCTGGCAACTCTTAAATACTGACAAATGGGCATATGCCTAAAAGATCCTTCTTATCTCCAGAACTAAGTCTCAGTTCTATAGGTACAAGTAGGCCTCTGTAGTAGGAAGATCAACTAATATCCACGTTTTTCAGATGTAAATTCCATCAGGAAAGCAGACTGAAAAAAGTAAGTTTTCAGGATGTGAGCAGTTCTCAATCATCATGAATTTTGGTAAGTTGAGGTTTAGAGGAAGCTTCTATTGCATATATAATCTTTACATAATTATGATAATGAAGGCTATTTGGCATATTTTGCTAAGGTTGAGATGATTGTTCTGGTATGAGTTACATCTTTTATTGTGAGACCACTTACTGGTATCTACTTCAGTTACCACGATTGGTTTGGAGAACTGAATTCGGAATCCCCAGGGATAATCTCCAGTTCCTTTGAATAGTCTCACGGTTCGCTCACGAACTGAAAAGAAAGCAAAGAGAGCATTGCTTTGGGTTAATTTTTAGGTGGTACAAGTTAATTATATTTAGGACATAGATAATATTCACTTGCTGTATATTACATGCCATACCTAATTACTGTGAAGAAAGTACAATCTAATTTATCTTCACTATGATCTACTATTTTTTCCCCTATGGTGGGAGGAAACTAATTCATGAAGGTTAAACACTTGTCTGTGTCACAAGTTGATTAAGAAATAGTGCTTACTACTCTTTGCGTGGTATTGAGGCTTCTCTCCTATCCAATCTGTCACAGCTACCTGAAAGCATCCGAGCCTTACACATTGGAGTCACTTATAGTCAAAGTTTATACATGCAAGTGAGAAAACTGAATCTGTATTCATATATTCAGATTTCATCAGAACCTAAGTAAGACTGAGATGTGGGTCTTCTCAGAAGGAAACAAGGAAATTCAGTCTTGCAGAAACTGTAAGTTTTGCATTGCTCTGGATTGAAGTCATAGAGTTCCAAGAACTTCACAGCACGCATTCACAGATTTTTACACTAGGCTAGCAATCTTTAATTAATGTGGCTCTGTAGGGCTCCATCTGCTTTTCTTCCTGCTACCTCATTCCCTGTACATGTGTGTATAGGGGCATGCATATGTGTGTCCAGGAGGTGTGGTAGCGGTATTGCTTTCTCACAGCTTGTGTTTGTCAGTGAGTTCAGCTTATTCATAACTTCAGCTCATTAGTGAGTCTTCTTGACTTTCCTCTGTCCTGAGATGTTTTAACATCTGTGTAACCACTCCTAAATACAATTTCCCAGTTTGAATTCTAGAAGGGGAAAGCCTCACAAGTATAAAAACAAATATGTTCAGAATTCTATTAGGCCATTACTCTTCAGAGGTGTAGAACAGAAATGTCTAAAACCTTTTCCTTTCTTTTTTGGAAGGACAGTTTCTATAGAGTGAGATGTTCCCAGTAAGTACTTTGTCTTTTAAAATATAATTGTATTTCAATTCCTATTTAGAAAAAGTATAAACCCAATTTATGTCATAGCTCAAGTCTATGATAAAACCCCTGAAGAATGTAATTGATCTCACAAGATTCACTTTTAAATACTAATAAACATGTTGAGTGAAAAACTATACCAAGGCTTCAAAATTATGTGTATTTTGTGAAACTTCAGGACAAGTCCACTGGAGCAAAATGCTAACATAATACTAAGAGAATTAATATTTATCCAATAATTGGATTGATATACATTATTGATCAACTTTTTTGTCCAAAATGATGAATATTTAAAATAATGAGTATATAATAATAAAGTATAATGATAAGCTTTCCAATAGCCATCAGTAGATGTTTAATAAGTGTAGTATTAGTTCTCTGGGAAAAAGTCAGAAAATTAGTTATAAGATAAGAATGCTGACCTATTAAAAGGAGAAAGATAAATCAATACCTTAAACTTAAAATCTAATAGAGTTCCCTGGAATATAAATATGTTAGAATATAAATATGTTAGAATAATATGTTTGGTGCTTTGTTTCAATTTTTCTTTTATATCTTACCACTTTTATTTCTCAGAGATATTGCTATTGCTCTCCACATTGAAAAGCAAAAGCATTGCTTCATTGCAGGGATTGTATCTTTAGGTCTATATTCAGAGTCTGCTATAGAATGCCGTAATATAGGCAAAATATACCAAAACTAAACTAATTTAAGAAACTAATAGAAAGTTAGGAATTTTAAAAATGCTGGACAATGATATTAACGGGGTGGGGAAGAACCTCAGTCTAGACTCCCATTTGATGTGGAATCCCTGACCATCTGATAGGAGGAGATAGGTGACTGTGTGCCTGACATCTGGAGACATAATTCCTCCTCCTCCTCCTCCTCCTCCTCCTCCTCCTCCTCCTCCTCTTCTTTCTTCCTCCCCTCCTTTTTTCTTTTCTCTCCTTCCTTCTTATTTTGCCATACATGAAAACTGAGGCATTTGTAAGATCACTTGTCTTTTATTTTACTAAAATTTCTACACGATTTTATAAGGTAAATCAATACTTTTCCAATTAAATGTCCCATGAAGAATGGCAGAAATTACACAGGTTAATCCATCTACTCAAACATGATAAGAAATGAGTCAACTCCTTTAGCTAGTGAGCAAAAAATTCTGCCAAAACAGACAGGTATTAATCTTCATTAAGGGTCATTTTCAGTCTGATTGCAGAAGTCATGCATTCACAAGCATTTATTTGGTACTTAATATGTCCCTAGTTGTTTTCCTAGATTCAGGGACTATAGCAAAATCAGATAAAGAGGTCATCTTCACCTGGAGTTGATGCAGTAGATATTAGCTGCAAATTTGGCAAATATTTGAAAGGAAGGATGAAATTTCTTTTTGTGAGTTCCTGAAGGAATGTTTGTCTTAATAAAATATGTGGAGAAAATACATTGCATTATTATTATTATTATGTTATTATTATTTGGGGAAAAATCCCACTATGTATGATATATTCCAACTCTAAAATCTAAGTCCTCTTTCTATTCTTCTAGAAGAATTTTTCCAGTTTGTTAATATAAACTTTTTTGGTATGACTGGTCTGCCACTTACTGGATATCAGAATTTAAGGGGCAGACAGGGAAATTTAAGGACTTTGGAATTAATATTTCAGCAGTTTGTTATAGGCTGGCAGCTAATCACGACATAAAGAAAACCAGAAATCCCATTTCTGACTGCTGAAAAATAATTTCTAATATCTCTACTTGTCAAGACTTCTTGCTCCCTCTAGGTTTCTCTTGATATTATCTTCTGCTTTTGACAGATTGATTACCCAACAGATATTTGTTTATCAGAATATTTTTACTGTGTTGATTCAAATCAAATCATGTTTGCTGTTTTGTTTGTTTTTTATTGCTTGGGACTGCTAAGATAGCTTTTGTTTTCAAGGCTGTATTTCTTTGGTTTTGTTTTTTCAATCAGACAAATTGAATGTCAACAATGTTATGAAAGAATAAACAATTCAATAAAGTCTTTAACGGGTAGGCTCAACTGTAGAGCTCTCCTGGGGGAGAAACACAATCAAAATGTTTTGCAACATGTTTCCCTCCCATTCTGAACACAATTTTCTCAGATTTTAAGGATTTATGGTCTTGTTTCCCCTTGACACTCTCTAGTGGATAATCTATAAGTGCCACACAGCTGCTTAAAAACTAGAAATGAATACTTGTGTTCTTTCAGAGACCATAGGGTATAGTATCAAGTAATTTATCCCACGGATAACACTTTCTTAGAATCATATTGCTGGTTGTAAAAATTCAAATGAAGAGCAAATATTTCCATAAACATCATATAACTCACATATACCTTTGTAGTGATAGAGCCTTTACTTGACTATTTCTCCAACTCAAGAGAATCCTTAGGAAATTAAGGATTGGAATTTTTCTTTATACAATACTAAATTTATCTTCACAAAATACATTCTAGCAGATAATAGTATCTGGTATTCAGTTAGTAAAGTTTTTAGTTTAAAAAGGGTACATTTGCTTTAGCTCACTTTTCCTCCAAGTTTCTTTTTTTTCTTTTTGATTATTGTTCTTTATACCACAGTCAAGAATGCATGCATTGGCTGTATAAAATACTTGAAGTCTTTACAGCAATAAGAAAGGACATGGATCACAGTTTTGAACTTGGTTTCATACAACTAATAGTATCATGAAATTCATTTGTAAAATTACAACACTTTCACATCGATACCCATATACACAAATACATGAATATATGTATATCCACTGTGTATGCAAATATATTTATACACACAAAAGAGAACTATTCTATTTGAATTTTTCTAATGTAAATGATACTAAATTGAGTAAAATTCTTGTTTTTGAATGACTATTAACAATATTAGTCATTTCAATTTTATTTTTCATAGACATTGTATGCTAGGTTTTGACTACAGTAATGTGACAAGAATTGTATTTTATTAATCTTTATGTTCTTAGATTTCCACAGGAAACATTTAAATCTTGTTGATTTGGTAAGTGTATTATATAAATTGTATATAATTTCTGTGTAATTATGTATGAATATATAGTCATACATTTGAGTATTTATTTATATGTTAGTTAAAATTAAGCAAAGTTTTATAAAAATTAAGAAAAGTAATTGAGGAAGACAAAATTAGTCAAGATGGGCAGAAATAGCCCTTTAGACTTTTTTATTATTTATGATATTGTATGTCAGGGTGGAGATTAACAGCTAGTTATTTATTCAGTAGTACTTATTATCTTGTCCTCAATCATTTATTCAACAATTAAGTATTAGTTTCTTATGATGAAACTTAGAACAGTTTCTAAGTGTTTTGGATACATCAATGAACTAATAAAGTTCCTGACCCTAAAAATATCTTTCCATTCTAGATTCTTGTTCTATTTCATTATTCAAAACTTAAGTATAGAAAATGTATTTTTCAAGGCTACTTCTATATGTTTATCATTAATCTTTTATTGCTGTTGTTTTCCTTCTTTTTGAAAAAAATATTTTAGCCTGGAAAGAATGTGATGTGAGATTTACTCTTGCAAAAACATTTTAAACTGTGCAACAGACTATTGTTGGCAATAGGCTCAATGCATAGCAGTTCTATCAAGTTTATTTATCTTTTTTAACTCCAAACTTTCAGGCTCACAAACTATGTTAATTTTCAAAACCCCTAATCTCAATGTTTTAAGGATGGGAGTACAATGCTGTCCTTATTTATTGATGGATAATTAAACTTAATTTGAGTATATTATGATGTAAATAAATATTCTAAGTGTGGAAATATAAAACTCATGGTTTCTTATGCATAGAAATTACTTAGACTTACAATATCCCCTTATTAATTTCTTGAATTTCATAATATTTATAAGAAAAGAACTAAGAAAAGTTCTATTTTACTCTGAATAAAACAACTGGTATATGTTACAATAATTTTTTTTCTACATAATTTGAGATAAATTGAAACTGAGCATATTCTGATGCTTGTACTTAATATGCTTAAACTCTAATATGTGTCTTGATAGAACTTACCATACTTGCAATCTGGGCTCTTCTGTCTAATCTTAGCAACTATCTTTCAATACTTTGAGCATGGATTTGTTGAATGAAATTGTTTATTTATCAAGATTATTTGTATCCATAAGTTAAAAACACACAAAAGCTCTATTCCTTAAATTATATAACAAAGACTTAAACCAAGTATTTTGTGTGTTTGTTGGTGTTAGGGCTTGAACTCAGGGCCTTGGATTCTTGCTTAGCTAGTTTGTTCAAGGCTAGTTCTCTACCATTAAGCCACACCTCCAGTCCCAGCTTTTTGCTGGTTAAATTGAGGTCAGAGTCTCTTCGATTTGACTGCTTGGACTGGCTTGAACTTTGATTCTCAGATGTCAGCCACCTGAGTAGCTAAGATTTTGAGTTTGAATCCAGCTGAGCTTGGCACCTGGTTTGAGACTAATATAAATCTTTCATATGCTAGAATTGATATTCTTATAATTTTTAAGTCATAAGCAATTAGTTTTTAGCTTACTAAAACTGCTCTCATAGAAATATCATGGAACATTAACCTTAAAATACTAGTGAAGTTTTCAAATCTTATAATTACATTACTAAGTAAATGTATATTAGTATGTGCTAAAAAGCTGGCTATAGAGGCTGGGAAGGTAGCTCAGTGGTAGAGTGCTTGCCTTGCATGTATGATGCCCTGGGTTCGATTTCTCAGCACCACATAAGCAGAAAAATCCAGAAGTGGCACTCTGGTTCAAGTGGTAGAGCATAGCCTTGAGCTGAAGAGCTGAGGGATAGTGCCCAGGCCCAGGCCCGGAGTTCAGGCCCATGACCAGAAAAAAAAAAAGCTGGCTATAAAATAACATGTACTGAAATCTCTATAAATACATATCAGAAGCATATAAAATTGCATACTGCAAAATCAATATAATGTTACATATATCAAAATAAATATACATATCATATACATATTTTATATATTAAAAATAAGATTAGACGTATGTATAATAAAAAGATAATGCAGAAACAATAAAATAGTTATCTAGAGCAGTCAGGATAATATGACATATTTGTTTTTTCCTCATAAGGTATATTCTTTTAAATTAGTAAGTATTTTCTTTTTTACTGGTAGGATGACAACTCCTCTTCATTCTGTTTACATCAATCTTTTTTCTAATTTTGGAATTATTATCCTGTTGGAGTACCTTTTAAGAGTTTTCATTTTAATGGTTTCAGATATCTTCATGATATTAAGAAACATATTATATGGGGCTGGGGGAATGGATCAAGTGGTAGAGCACCTGCCTAGAAAACATAAGGCCTGTGATTTCAAATTTCAGTATTGCAAACAAAAGAAATATACTATGTGTGTGTTTACATACATACATATATAAATCTGTGCTTGTGTGAATGTACTGTTGCATACATACTTCAGTTCCCCAAACTCTCCACCTAGTACTAACTAGAGGTAAACAGTTTCAGAGACTTGCATATCTATTTTACAGTAACTGTAGCATCCTTACCCGCTGTTGGTCGTGGTTTTTTACTCAGACATCTGGGACTATCTTCAGGATTCCCATCATCCCCTCTGAAAACCCATGCTGCGGAATGAAAATTCTCTGTGTAGAATCCTTTGTCTTGAATATCAACCCGAGAGCCAAAATCCATAGAACGACCATCATCTGACGTGACTGAGAAGCAGAAAAAGTGACAGTCTAAATTATGCACTAGTTGGAAAGAGGATTCAGCACATTGCTGAGCAAAGTGAGAGAGCAGCCAATAAGATGGTGTTAATGAAGAGTGTAAGCTCACGACAAGCATCTAAATTTGTGGGCTTTTCTCTTGGGAAGAATATAAGTAAATCTAAGCCAGTACTGATATAAGCCTAAAGCATGGGAGTTTGTGCACCATGAAGAGGCTGCATGATAAATCCTTCAGTAGAGGAATCATATGGAAAGATATATTTTTTTTTACAAAAAGGTCTATGTATTAGTATTTAGGAGTAAATAGGAAACAATATGAATCTAAGAATTAGCTGTTACATTTTCTTAAACATCAAGCATAAGAAAAAGGATTAAGTTTAAATGGAGGAAACAAAATGGGAAATCCATCCCTATCTTTGGGCTAAAGGTACTGCAAAAGCATTTCCTAGAAAGCTCACTGTGTTCTTATACAAAAATAGATAAATAATGAAGTAGACAAAGAAAAGTAGATAAATAATAAGGAGTCATGTAAATTTTGATTCAACTGATCTTTTCGTTTTGTTGGTATATTGCTGTTTGTTTGGTTGTTTTGTTTAGTTTTAACATAGCAATTTGGGTTTTCTAATATCTTTGATAGTGTGGAAACCTGATCAGCTGGAGAAGTAAGACTGAATTTCTGTTACTTTTGTGGCTTGTAAAACTAAACAATGTCATGTTCTAAGCCTTTCAGTCTTTTACGAGAAAAGAAGCAATACCACAATATAAAGAAAAGATAGAGGCATTTGTGTGAATTTCTTTCTCCTTTTCTTTTTTTTCTTTTTTGTTAATTATGGGGATGTCCTTGAGCTATTTTGCTCAAGTCTGGCACTCTACCACTTTGAACGACAGCTCAAAGTGTTGAATTGGTGATAAGAGTCTCGTGGACTTTCCTGCCGAGGCTGGCTTCTAATCGTGATCCTCAAATCTCAGCCTTCTGAGTAGCTAGGATTACAGGCAGGCATGAGCCAACATTGTCCAACATTACATGAATTTCTTAAATGTCATGGAAAGCACAGGACTTGATAACTACAATATTTCTTTATATACAACAGAATATTTTATTTGATTCATTTTTTTGGGGGGGGGCATCTGTCATGGGGCTTTCACTCTGGGCCTAAGCATTCTCTCTGAGCTCTTTAGCTCATGTCTAGAGCTTTGCCACTTGAGACTTGAGCCACAGCACCACTTCCCAGAATATCTTCTTATTTTCTTCTCTTTTGTCATTTCTCTTCACATACTTACTATATATGAAAGTTGCTACTGTGCCTTCCTCAGAAAAATTCTATGGAAAAGACTTTACTTTTGCCCTTGGGCCTATCCCGTAGTGCCCAGTGGGACTTCTGCTTCCCTAGGGAAGCATTCATCTGCTCTCACTGAGTTTTCTTTGGAGAATCATTACTAATGGCTCCTGTTCTTGCCCTAATAATTTCATTTTGTTTTCTTAATAGAGAACTAACAAGAGTAAATGTTAGTTGTTTTCCTGACAACATAAATTGGACAACGGATTCCAAATTATATGTAAGTTTGACTTGTATAGTAATTTTCAGGTGTGATATTTTGACAAAGTATGCAAGAATATAGTGTCTTGCAGTCAAGAAGATATACAAATGTCATTATTTTTCAATTCTCAATTATCTTTAATGCCCGACCTTACATTTTTAAATTTTATGCTTCAAATGAAATCATCCTACTCATTCTGTGGCTTAAGCTGCTTCAAGTACATTTATTCATTCATTGAATTAAATTGATTTGAAAGAAATATTCTCTCATGAACAGGTGTAATCTTGTGTACAATGGAGAAAGGACAATAAGACAGGGCTCATCATGAAGTAAAAGTTTAGAGAAAGGACAGAGTGAGTCTGGATGCTGGGAGGGGTATAGCTAAAGAAAGAATATCATTAGCCTGACCCAAGGAGGGATCCGACTTTCTCTGAGAAGATGGGGTATGAGAGAGGGAGGTAAGCATGGCACAGACATATGACCTGTGGAGGGGGAAATCAGGTGCAGGACAAGCAACTTTGTCCAGAAAATCTGAAATTTAGAAGGCAAAACCTGATACTTTTTGAATGACAAAATATGATACTGAATTGGTAGTTTCCATCAAAATACAGGTGCACTGAAAATACTGTATAAAATCATAACACATCCATGAAAAAATAGTTTTATGTTTAGATTTAGATCTTGTCCAAATATATTATGTATTATGTATATGCAAATACTCCAAAATAAAAGTACATATAAATACAATGTATATACAAATTCTCCAAAATAGAATCAAAAAAGAAACCCAGATATCACAAACACTGTTGGTCTCAAGCATTTCAATTAAGAAATATTTAACTGGAGCTACATACATGGCTCAAATGGTGGAATTCCAGCCATTAGAAAAAAAAAATAAAATGAGCTCAAGGTCCTAAATTCAGGCCCCATTTCAGCACACACACACAAAAATATTAAACTGTGTTTTTTAAAAGAGGAAGATAACATGGAAATGTTAAAGAATTATAAAGTTGGAATGTAAATGATATGAGAATTTTGTGGGGTGTATTGCTCATTGGAATTAAAATTATGAAAGGTTAAAAGAGAATGCTTCAAATTAGGATGTCTTCTTTTACAAAATATACTGAAAAATTCTTTAAAAATTTAAAAACTTTGTATTCTGGGTAAGTCTGCTTATGTATGATATCTGATTTTAAATGGAAGGAAAAGTAAACCAAGAATTTGTAACAATGTATTCATTCATTGTTCTGAGCCTTGTAGCAAAATGAAATCTTTTTGCTACAGTACTATTTGCTAAAGTTACAGCAGTGATAGTTTCCAAGTATTTAAGTAACTGCCTGTTGGATTTATTTTCTATATGCTTTGCTTTAAAATTCAGTTATATTTTAATATTTATGAGTATAATTTACATAAATTACTTGACCTATTGGCTTATCTTTACTAATTTTTCTCTCAGCAATAGATACCCATGTTAGATCTGCAATTATCTCCCTATCATGGAAAGATCAGAGGGTGGGTTGTTAAATTACAATGAGCATTGTTTTAATTGGCATCCATGAAGCTGTTAGAGCAGGGCATTTATTTACCAAGATGTGGATGAGTACTTCTTCTATGCATTTGGTTACCGAGATGGAGTTAATCAGCATACTCTTATATAAAGTAAGACATAAAATTTGTGTTAAAATCCATGGATACAACAAGCTACACATCAGCTGTAAAACTGTAGTTTCTAGATTTCTCAACATCTGTCCCTGTGGAATCTTGATAGAATCTTGAGCCAAAGAGAAAGAAGGCCCAAATGTATCTGTCACAAATTTTTTTTCAATAAAATTAGATTTTCTAAGAATTGACAAATAAAAGAACCAGACACTTGTGGCTCAAGCCTCGTTATTTAGGAGGCTGAGATCTGAGGATAGCAGTTCGAAGCAAGGCCAGACAGAGTAGTACATGAGACTCTTATCCCCAATGAACTACTCAGAAACAGCTGAAAGTGATACTGTGGCTCAAGTGGTAAAATGCTAGCTTTGAGCAAAAAGAGGCTCAGAGACAGCAACCAGGATCTTCGTTCGAGTCACAGGACCAACAAAAAAAAAGAAAAAGAAAAAGACAAATGGGATTGCTTCAAATTAAAAAATTAAAAGGCTTTTTGCAAAGTAAAGAAAATAGCCCAGAAAACTGGTGAAGCCCAAAATATGGGAGAAAAGTCTTTCCCAGCTATTCATCTGGCAAAGGTTTAATATCCAGAATATATAAAGAACTAAAAAAAAAACCCTAGACAGTAGAAAATACAGAATTCAGCCAGCATGTGGGCAATGAATTGGACAGATAGTCCTTAAAAAAATTACAAATGGCCAATAAATGCATGCAAGAATGATCAACATCTCTAGCTATCAAGGAAATGCAAATCAAAATAATGTTGTGATTGCATGTTACCCAGTCAGAATGCAGACTTGCCAACAACTAGAAAACAATCAGCAACAAATATGGGGTGGGTGAGGATCTGGAGTGTGGGAAAAGGTACCTTTACATATTTTGTTAGAAATATTAATTAGTCTAGCCACTATGGTAATCAACATGTAAGTTCCTCGAAAAGCTAAAAATAGAACTACCACCTGATCCAGCTATACCACTTGTGGGCATATAACCAAAGGAATGCATACAATATAGATGTAGGAAAATCCACATTCATTGTATTCACAATAGGCAAGTTATAGAATCAGCCTATCATCAACAAATTAATGGATAAAGGTGTTGGAGGTGTTGCTCAGTTGGTAAAATGCTAGGTAATGAGTAAAAATATCAGGTACAGAGTTTGAGTCCCAGTCTGGGACCAAGAAAAAAAAAGATAAACAAAATGTCACACACACACACACACACACACACACACACACACACACACACACACACACACACACACACACACACACACACAATGGAGTTTCATTCTATCCAAAAGAAAAAAAATCAATTATGCCATTTGCATGAGATCCTCATGTTAAACAAAACCAGCTACTCAGAAAAACAATTACGATATTTTTTTCTCATGTGACAGCTAAATTTACAAAAAGGAGACTTAAGAGTTGAAAAGGGACAATTTGAATATAGTAAGAAGACCTTTGTGATGAGAGAGGTAATTAGGAGATGATTTAGAAAGTGGTATGTAATGCAACAAGACCCTTGTTTAGACTTTACTAGAAAGAGACCAATGCTTTGAATTGTTTTGCAGATTCAGTGAATTGTAGTGCTTAGAAGCTTGAACGACAGTTTGGTTGTCTGAGTTTGAAACATAGCCCACCGCTAATTATAGTTTAGTGACCTTAAACACTTGACCTTATCTTTTGCATGACTCATAAACTTTATTTAGTAAAGTGAGAGTGAAAACACAGTACTTGGCCTGTATTGCTACTGGGAAAATTGACAATATATCCTGGATAATAGTAGTACCTGGTATAAAACAAACATACCACCAAAAACATTAGTTCTTGTTATTAGGAGTTAAAATTGTTTTGTTTTGCTCCACCCCCCTCCTCAATCTCACTATTTCTCCTCTGTCTCTTTTCTCTTGTCACTCTTTCTTTTACATGGCAACTAATACTTGGGAAATACACTTCCATAATAATTTTAATAGCTGAATGAAGAGATATGCTATCAAGTATCCACATGATTAGACCCACATTCCTGTCACATGTGTTTGTGATACAGAAGCCATTTGAAATTATACAACTCGGAGGTCCATTTTGCAGGCTCTTCCTCCTTCCTTTTATAGCCTTCAAGTTATTTACCTGTGTGCTTTAGTCAGCATTCCTCACAGCCTGGATGGATTGATCGGCTGTGTCCACACTCATAAACATGTCAGTCCTAATGTCTTTTCCAGCTATTATGTAGGAAGTCAGAGATGAGTGAGATTAACAGAGTGAAAAACACCAGCTATAATGATGTTCAATAAAGCTGTCAGTTTTTAAGTCGGGGATTAGTAGCATATCCTGGCTCTATAAATGAGTTAAAATTTAAACCACACATTAAACAATACTAGCCCCAGCAGCTCTTGGTGAATTTCCGTCTCTACCAAAAAGTTTCCAAAGAAATATAACATACCTTGGATAAACTGAAAATTAGACATGGCAGACAGTTCAATTCTCTAGTGTGTAATGTGAAAAAATGGCATGTTTTCATTCAAAACAAAATCCAGTCGAAAGAAAACACAATCATTATTTAATTAAATCACTTATATTATTGTACCAAATGATTTGAATTTCTATAAATTATACAGTGGATTCCTGTGTTATTTCAAATGGACTAATGGTAAATGTTTTAAGTGACTCTCCAAAAGAAAAACAAGAAACTTTTTTGCAGTGTTAGCCAGATTCTGTCATATTAAAACTCTCACTCCAGCTAATTTCAAGCTATCAACCTGTTGTTGCTGGACTGTAGTGAGAGAAAAATGTGCAAGTTGGTTTTTGTGAGCCACGGAGCTGGCTAGCACAGCTATGATTGTTTTTCAAGAAATGCAGACCAGACATGATGTCTAAGGCTACTGGTAGTTAGGGATTTTTCCATAAAACAACAGACAAAATAGACTCTTACTCGGAGTCTAGAAAGCTGAAGGACACAGTGAAGCAGAAAGTACTGGTCTCAATCTTTATGACAGTCATCTGTAATCAAATTAAACAGTTTCTATTTAACCTGATTTCTTATTTTGTTAAATGTAAGAATATCTGGTGTGCTTTTCCAAAGAGGGATGATTACAGATTAGAAATAAGTAATATATATGTGCATATACATATAAAGTTAGAAAAGATTTTTGAATATTTTTTGCCATAAACATAATAAAGAAGTCCATGTCTCTACCATGATTTATATAGCACGTTGCATATTCATGTATACATGATGCCTTACAAAGATGTTTTTACGTATCCTTTAAAATAAATTCAATAGGTATTTCCAGGCATTAGTGGGAAGCTGTTGCTATATGTAGTGAATTTTTATTCCTACATGTAAAGTTTTATTTGTTTTTTATATCTATAATCCAAGCATTCACCCATCAGTTTCTTTATTCTTAGTTTTAAAGATAAGTACGATTGTAGTTTTGACAGCTGACTGCCTTTGTAATTCTTCTTTATACAAGTTCAGAGGTGTGAAGTGCAGTTGTGTTTCTCTGTGATATAAAACAGAATTTCAAGGTTCAAGAAAAAATAAGTCAGGCAGAAGGAAACAAAAACTTATGAATAAGAGAGTTGGAAGGAAAACAATGCTATAAAGGTACTCCTTAGATGACTGCAAGACACACAGACACCTCTGAAGCACAGTAATATAGAAAAGAAATTTCAAGTTGTTTGCCTGGGGATATATAGTATAAACCCTCCAGTATCTCTCTTTCCCTGTTTTCAGGAAATTCCGTATTTCTTACTAATGCCTTTGTATGACTATATTTTTGAGGGACCTGGAAACTTAGAACCAGTGAGCCTGATACTTAATTTACATGCATAGCACAAAGTTTATAACTTTACATGGAAAAGAAAACCAAAATATATAACGACTGAAAGTCTGTCAAATACTAGGCCAGGAAAATATGAGTGATAGTGTAAGATATATGGGAAATCCAGTTTGAGGCCCATGTCTGAATAAAATTTCAGGTATTTACTTAGAGATTATTGAGAAGAAAGCATTTGTACAGTTTGGAAACTGAAAACCAAAATCTACTATTATTTATCCTCCCATGTTGATGAAAATAACTTTATTCTGCAGATTTAGCAGAGTTTTACTATTCCAGGGGATTTTTTTCCCCCTTAGGCTTAGATCAGTTGTACAAGGAGGAAGGATTTTATGATGATATTTCCCCAAGCTTACATTGTATTCCAATCAATTTTACTCTGCTATCACACTCCCAGGAGATTCTTTACCAAGCAAATGTGTTATTGTTTATTTTATAAACTTCAAAAACAGTACATGTGTTTTGGTAGTACTTGGGTTTGTGCTTGTTAAGCAGGTGTTTTACCACTCTACCAGCCTGTTTTGGTGGTGGTTATACCTCACAGCCTCACAGCTTTTACCTCGAGCAGGTCTTGGCTCCACATGCTCCTATCTATACCTCTTGCATAGCTGGGATAATAAGAGTGCATCACTATGCTCTCTTGTTTATTGAGAAGAGAACAGCTAGCTTTCTGACTGTGCTGGCCTACAAATATGATCCTCCTGATACCTACTGCCTCATTATCTAGGATTATAGTTACGAACCACCATGTCTGGACAAACCATCAATTCTTTGAGAGAAAATATGAACAGGCACCTTTAGTTTTCTTGCAGCCCTCACAATCCTTACTTTGCCATTCTATCAATCCGAACTTGTTAAATAATCATTCTAACCCATTTCTAACTGATATCTCCCATTGAAGAGCCTGGCTTGAGACAAATGCTTAAGAATTTAACATTGCTGTTTTCCCCCTGAGGCCTAAAGGGTGAAACAATAGAATTCTTTTACTGGAAGTCTAAAAGAAATAGATTGCCTAGCGAGGTATTTTGAAGGTGTATGACAATAAAAGGATAATAAAAAGTCCCTACACAATAGTATATGTGAAAATAACAAGTTAATATTTGAGACCATTGGTCCTTACTGCCTAATAAAGGAAGGAACTGTAAGACTAGAGCACTGATTAAGGAACAAGAATAAAAATTATCTGGAAAAAATATACGAATTAAAGTTGCTTTTTTATTTTTCACATGAATGTGAAGAATGTTGTGCTGGTGATAGTACAGTACATTGGTTGTTTAAGTTACGTGGAACCTTTTCCAAATTCTTTTACAGTTGTTTTCAAGTTCTAGTCATTATGGGTAAACTATACTACTACCTTTCATGAACTGTATTTCTTATCAGCCTGGATGTAGGACATTACCTTGGGCACTCACTATTTACTTTTTCCTAAAGACATTCTTTTCATCATAATGCCATCTTTCTTTCTCTTTTTCTTTTCTTTCTTTTTCTCCTTTCTCTTTTTTCCTTTCTTTCTTTCCTTCTTTCTTTTTTCTTTCTTTTTCTCTTTTTTCTCTCTCCCTCCATCTCTCTGTCCTAGCCTCCATTCTTCCTTCCTCCCTTCCTTCCTTCCTCCCTTCCTTCCTTCCTTCCTCCCTTTCTTTCTTCCTTCCTTCCTTCTTTCCTTCCTCCCTTCTTTCTGTCTTTCCTTCTTGATGGTGTAGGAATTTAAATTCAAGGTCTTCATTTACGATTCTGGTACTCTACCATTTGAGCCATTCTATCAGATCAGGCATTTTTTTCTGGTTAAATTGGAGGTAAGAGGCTTTTGAGTTTGTATGCTCAGGCTGTCTCTAGAAGGCAGTACTCAGATCTCAGCATCATGAGTAGTTAGGATTATAAACTTGAATCATCAGTGCAGTGCCAATTGCTATGGATATTTTAAACTTTGCTTGTTTGTGGTTTTTAATAATGTATAGATAGCCAAAGCCTATTAGTGGGGTAAATAACTTTTAACTTCAATTGCTAGTATCTGGTCCAGATTAGTGGCTGGTATGTATTAGATGTACTAAACATTCCTCTCTTTTTGAAATACTAAGATTTGAACTAAGGGTCTACGCTTGTTGACTAATGCTACTAGTTCATTTTACTCTTGCTAATTTTCAAATAAAGTTTAGCTTGTTGTCTTGGTCAGCTCAGACAACAATCCTTCTATTTATGACTACAATATAGCTAGGATGACAGGCAAATAACACTGTGCCAATCTTTTTATTGGTGAAGATGGGGAGTCACTAATTTTTTTCATCAGCTGGCCTCAATCTTCTGGTCTCAACTTTCCAAGTATCAATGATTATTGGTTGGAACCATTGCTTCCATTTCCCCCTATAATTTTTAATTCATATTTTTAGTTCAGTTGAATATCCTCAATGATAACCTATATATCTTCCATTTTCAGTTGATTGTGGATTGTGGGACTATGGTGTAATGCTAGTTTAATAAGACTCTGGTAGCAAGAAAAATGCTATCTCATTAAAACATATATACATAGATAGATAGATAATTTTCAGGAATGTTAAAATAAAAAGAAAAATCGTTACTTCTAATCAAATATGTTCACAGTTTCCTTTTACATATATATTTCTGTAAAACAACACTCATCCTTTCATGATGAATATACATTTAATTTAGTAGATAAGCCTTAGAGTTAGCTATTTTAGTATCTGAAGCAAAGAGGAAACTTATCAAGATGCTTTTAGTGAAGCATATAATTTACCAAGTAGGATTTCTTGTAATGGATGAAAGAAAGAGTTGATTACTCTATAAATACCTTTCATAATGAAACCTTGTACCATCACTTGTATGTATCACATGTATATATCTGAAAATCAAGGGAGGGAACTTGGTTAAGATTTAGTAAAGTGCTGCCTTTTCTGTGGCTTAAGAAAGATAGTAGTCTACTCACTGGATCCTTCAGTGATGTTGCTGGCAAAGGAACTGCCCCCTGTTGAACTGCATCTCTTGCCATCCTTGAATTGTTGCCTCCTCCTGGCCCACTGGTCTATTGCTTCTTCCTGGGAACCATCACTTCCTCTTCCACTTTTGAGAGTGAATTCCTGTGATAACTTTCGGAGGCTACTGATTTCCAAGTTCTGATCTAGATTGGAATACATTAAATAGAAATGCGAGACAACATTTCAAGTTAGAATGTGAAATACTCAGTCTTTGAAACAGAAACATAGATTAGAATGAATACAAATTCATTTAGTTCCTTCATGGACCACTTGCTAGTCAGAGAGAGAGAGAGAGAAATATATGCTCAGACAGACAGAGAAACTTAGAGATACAGAGAGACACAGAGTAAGACAACAGGAAAACTAACTAGCAAGATGAACAGGTAGACATTCATATTAGAAACAGAGAAATGAAGAATGCTTTAAGTAGATTCAATTTACCATGCATTCTTTGCATATCAGTAGTATGCCTTATACTATATGCATTTCTGTGGAGAGGCAAAGTCAAAGTATATATACACACACACATACTAAATTGTCTTTAAGAAAATGTGATTCCTAGATTAGTTCAGTTAAAACCCAGGAAAATACGTACATTTGAACTCTACTATCTGTGGCTTGAATTGTGTTAATCATAAACAGACAATTTTATAAGGCTTTAATTGTTCAAAATGATGAAAAGAAAATATTGCAAAAAATGCATAGACTTTAAATAACATGTAATATTTTATGTAGTTTATACTGTTGACTTCTGTTTTCACAAAGTGTTGACTCTGAAGAATTAGAAGAAAATTACAAATATATGATGACAACCAGACCCCAAAATACTTGAAAAAGTAAGATAAGATAAAATAATACTCAAATGAGAATATACATAATATATAGAATTAAGATTTTAGTGTTTGATACTATACAAAATGAAGCATAGATTTCATTACAGGTCAATGGTTCACCATTGATTTTATTTTACTCCTAGAAGCAAATGGGATTTTACAATTCGGTTTTATAAAAGTCTAACTTATTAATATCAAAAATATTCACAGAATTATATAAGTAATAAACAGAATCATCATGAAAAATAGTATTTTGTATTATTCATAATTATTAATGAACCATTTGTATAATAGGTTAAATTTTCTAGGCTAAATTGATGGGGAGAGAGAAGAATCATTACCCAATTCCTGTAATTTTCCTCACCTCTGTTGTTGACTCTTACTCTTACTTTGGAAATAAAAGATGTTAGCAAAACAATATATATCTTATTATATCTAGTGTTCACTATTGTTTTATTTTGATGGGGATGGAGATTGAACTCAGAGTCAATAATGCTAGAAAAATGCTCCACCACTTGAGCAACAATCTTAGCCTTTTTGTTTGTATATTTTATTAAATGCAAATGTTTCACCAAGTGCTATGGTTTGAATGAATGTGTCCCTCCTTTAATTTTGAAATGTACAATCCAGTGTGACAGTTAGAAAGCATGGTGACTCAGCCTCATGAATCTTGCTCTCATCAATGAGATGATGCCCTTTAACAATGTTGGAAGGGACTAGCAAGCCCCTTCTATCTTTCTGCCTTATACCATGGTAGGACATCAATAAGGTGAAATCCTGGCAGCAGGAAGACACTAGACAACAAATGTTGGCACCTTGATCCTAATTTTATCCTATTGTAGAGTTGTAAGAAATGCATTTGTACTTTTTCAAGATTACCCTGTCACTTATATATAACAGCATGACTGGACTGATCAAGAATGGTGTCAAAGTGGAAAGCTATCATCCTGAAAGCCAGCGTAGGGTGAGAGGATGCAGGAACAGAAGATCTGAGAGGTTTCCCACTGGATGAAAGCACAGGCATTGCATCTGGGCCTGGGACACTGGGTTTGTGTATGCATGAAGAAACGTTACAATGAGTAATGTCAAAGTTCCTGAAAATTAACACTAGGGTAGGGTCATGGGGAAGGGAGTCAGATGAATAAAGAGAAGGGAAGAAGGGAAGGGCAGTTGGGAGGGATGGCCAAGAATGTATTCATATACTGCTTTACAAAACGGCAATCCCTTCATACAACTATATAAAGATAATAAAACTGGAATTGTGTTCAAGTTCTAGATTCATAAAAAGTCCGTGTGTTTGAAGTTATCTCAAGAGCTGCCATTTTCTGAAAGATATCATTTTCTATTATTTCTTTTCTTTTTTTTTATTCTTAGTGTTTGGATACAGAGCTTGAGACCTGAAACATTTTTCAGATTTATAATCTTCTCTACCTCTCTGCCTAGGCATGAGCTTTTGGAATTTGTCATTCTTTTTCCCCCTTGAAGTACTGGGTAATAAATTATCTACCTCATATAAATTTTGTGTCATATAATATAAAACTATTTAAATGTGAATATGTTTATGCCCCATAAAATATCACTTATTTCTTTTCATTATCTGTTGTTTTCTCAGGGTGGTCTAGGTTTGGTTTCCTCATTAATTTTTTTTTGTGTGTGAGTGGTACAGAATTTCTGGTTGATTGGCATAGATCTTGTACACATATGTTAGTTCGTTTGTAGCTGAAGTCGAATAAAAACCTCTTCAATTAAGAGTATATCATTACCTGGAATATAAAGAACTCAATATTTAATTCTTAAGGATTCAGACTTTTCTTTATTCCACACTGGCTTTGTCACCTCCTGCCCCATTTCTCAACCTATCCTCTTTATTTTTTTAAATTTGTTCATATGGCACACATTTTTTTTTACTCTGAAGTATGATTTCCAAATTTTATAATCAAGAGATCCATAGATATGTATTTTTTTTTCTGGCTATCTTGGAAACTCAGAAAGCCTTCCAATACTGAACTACATTCTCATTTTCTCAGGATGATATCTAGGTGACCAACATACCACCCTCCCTTCCATGCTGCCTGTTTTGCTCACTTACATGTCTGTTTGTCTCCTTTAAACAGTCCAGGTTGTGCCATCTGCTATAGTTAATTCCCAAATGGACACTCATATTAGAAGTTACTACATCAATGTCACAGTCTGTATACATTCCACAGCTTTTTATTTGTTTGCTTGTTTGTTCCATCATACTAGGATGGAACCTAAGGTCTTGTATAAAGGATCTATCACTGAGCCACACTCCCAGTCCTACCTGAGGTACATGGATGAAATGAAATACAGACTAATTTCTGCCTGTATGGTTTCTTGTAGAATAGCCTAAAGGTGTTCAAGTTCCTCAAGCATTTGTACCCTGAAAAATTCATGAAGTCCTTCACTGGAGTGTCAACAGTATGCAAAAAATAGTGTTAAACAAAGTATAAAAATACAACCTTAGGATAAGCAAGCTATGCAAATATTTGTTGTTTATGCAGCTGAATCATTTTCTGAATATATTTTAATTGCTGAACTCTTTTATTGTTGAGTTTTGTATATGTTGGCATGAAAGAGAACTGTGATGTGACTTCACTGCATTCATTCAATAAGTATTTAATGCGTACCTCTAGTATAGGACAGGCATTGTCTAATGCTGTGGATATAATAATAATTGAAGCAGAAAATATACAGACCCTCATGATGCTTACATTTGAATGAAAAAAAAGACAGAATGCAAACATACTAAGCAATAGAATATATAGCATTTTAGAAGAGGAAAGTGCTCTATTCAAAAGCAAAACATAAAAAAGGGATAAAGTTCGCCTGGGCCAGGACAATGGCAGCCCAAAGTGCAGTTTTAAATTTGGTGGTCTGAGAAGGACTCACTGAAAACTGTGGTATGCCACTATAAATCCTAAAGCAGACATGGAGAAAAGACTGAACCTCTCTGCACATAAGAGGAAAGACTTGTTAAGGTCGTGAATAAACTCATGCAGAGCACTTGAAGTGGGATTTTTTTTTTCTGGAAGTTTCTACGGGTCCAAGTAGGGCAAGGTGACTAGAAGAGATTAGGGGGAAGAAGAAGAAAGAATCAAGGGGAAAGACCTGTAGGGAAATATTTTTGATACAGCTGAGCGCTGGTTGCTCATGCCTGTAATCCTAGCAACTCAGGAAACAGATCTTGGGATCACGGCTCAAAGCTTGCCCAGGCAGGGAAAGTCTGTGAGACTCTTAACTGCAATAAACCACTAGAAAACTGTAAGTGGCACTGTGGCTCAAGCAGTAGATCACTAGCCTTGAGCTGAAGAGCTAAGGGATAGCACCCAGGGCCAGAGTTCAAGCCCCACAACCGATTTTAAAAAATGATGAAGCATAATACAAGGAACCAGTTGCTAGACCTGTTTATCAAATGAGATAATTTCAGCTTACTGAGCTGTGACCTCAGGTTTGGTTGGACTCTGATTTGCATTATTAATTGGTGTAGAGAGAAATGAGTCTTCCTGAGAGAGAAAGGATAGGAAGGCACATATCCCTGAAAGAATGAGAACAAATCTGAGAGAGGTATTCATCAGGGTGAGTAAATATCTGCTATAAAAGATACTATTGCTCTTATTATAGGCTCTCTTACTTTTCTAAATAACTGCAGTTAGGCAAATGTTGAGAATGATGTTGCTGCTCCTTGTATCAAAGGTATGTAGGGAGTGGAAAGCATTTGGTATGATGGCTGGTCTTTAGAGTGCTTATATGGAGGTGATTGGTTATTTTTGAACTATTTAGCTGACATTTTTATAAAAGAAACTTTTAACTTTTATGCCAACATTTATGTAACAGATTATTTTTAATTTTTTTCCACTCTTACATTTTTAAAGAAATGTCTTGTACAATCTTTGCTCTAACTTACATTTTTTTTCATTAAAATTTTAGAGAGAGAACAAGAACAAAGAAGATAGCATCTGCAATAAGTTTCATCATTTTGAAACATTCTGAGAATGTTATTGTAAACTTAGAAGGCAGTTTTTACTCATTCAAGAGATATTTTCATTTACAATAGGGAATAATGCTAACATTAGATATTATTTGGACTCTTTGAGAAAACCAAGGGCTTTTTTACAAAGTGACCAGAACAATATTATGCTGCCCCAAGATTGAAAGCAGGTAGACAGTATTATATATTTAGGAAAGAACTTCCTGCATAGACATCCATAGTGTCTGGAGAGCTTCTGGGTTCTATCACTATTTGAATGGGGCCAACCAATGCACAAGTGAGGTCAGAGGGCTGTTAGAGGTCAAAGCTCCATGGATGGCTCAGTCAGGATTAGCTATGGTTATTTCTGTTTTTTGTCCTTTGCTTTAATTGTTATTCCACATGGCTTCCTGTGATACACATAGCTATGATTCTGCAACATCACAGCAAAGCTTAAAAACACATTTTATTAAAAACATGCTTATCCTGTAAGAAGGAAAGAAATGGTGGGTTACTTAAGGGTGGCAAAAGGCTAAATTTCCTACAAAATTGATTTGGCAATACATCAACCTTGTAAAGAGAAATTGATTTTTTAAAACTTATATTAAACTGCAGCCTTGGTGATTTTGCTATGCACTATTTATGGGTAGAGTGGGTGATAATGTAAAGAAGCAGGCTGATATATGCTTGTTCATATTCATCTAATTCTCTAATACTCAATATATCTGGCAATAAAGAAAAAAAAAACCCAAGCAATATAAAAAGCTTCATGTTAAGACTTTCCAAAGCTCAAACATGTAAAAATAATGAAAGTCAAAGATTCTATATAGCTCACAATACCTTTCAAAGCCTTCTGCTTTGGGGTTGAAAGCAATATGTCAATGTGGTGATAGAAAATTTCATCTGAGTCATTTTTGTTTTCTTCAGAATTCGGTCTTATTGATGCAGTCCTTTGGAATTCTGCAGGCTCTGGTTGCGAATTGGTTAATGTAAGGCTTTTATCATTTTGGTTCTCACACTGACCTGCACCACTGGTTAGTGTTTTCTCAATTAGAAAGAGCTTTTCTCTAACACATACTGCACAGCTGGACTCAGTAGTGCCTTCTATATGGTTTACCCTGGTTGGTTCTTCAAATTCTTTATTCTTTACCACTGGTAATATTTGCCATGGGTTTTCAACCTTTTCCAGAGAATGAAGTGACTCAGTAGGGTTTCTCATTCCCACAGGGCAATTAAAGTCATTTATGCCTTCTTTATCATTTTGCGTAATTAATCTCTGCTCGAATTCATCAGTTTCACAGGCCATGACTGGTACTTCTATTGTTCTGGGGGTTTCTATCTCTAGATGATTTATCTGGATCTCTGTTTGATTCCATTCCACAGTGCCAGGGCTAATGTGATGCAGTGGGCTCCCATGGCTGCTAGAGGAGGCAGGCCTGAGCATTGGGCTTTGGGTTCTTTTCCTTTCCAATGGCTGCTGTGTGCTTCCGTAAGAGTCACCATGTATAAGGGTTTTGCTAGTAATGTCTTTGCCTGCTATATCACCATGGCTTTTCTCACAGCCAACCATAAATTCAGGACACTGGGTAAAGGAAAATGTTTTACCAGAGGTCTCTATAGGTTCTAAATGTCTAGTGATCCAGTGAGATGGGCTGACTGAGGTAAAACATTGTATATCATTTTGACTGAAAGGGATAGATAGAGAATTTGTATTCTCACTGTCTTCAGTAGGTGGCGTTTTATTGTCTTTACAATAGATGCTGTCTGCTTTTTCTCCTATGAGCTGCTTGCTCAGAAAAGACAGAGAGCAGAAATCAGAATATGAGTCATCTTGCATGGGAGCAGTATTGCTGGTAACACAATTTTGGAAATAGTCTGTTCTTTCTGTGGCTGGTTGTACATTCAAGTCAGATGTGATGATTTCTTGGACATCAGAGCTGCTGCGTCTCTCTGTAGGCACATCCTTAGTGTCCTCAAAAGGCATTTTATTTAAATCTGTATTACTTAAACTTGTAGTCTTCAGGATGTCACAGGAAGTAGCAGGAATATTTTCCAGAACAGTGCCAGCTACAGGGGAATGTTTCCTTTTTGGAGTGTCCTGATTACTTTTATAGACCTTCTGCTGAGATATGGCAGATTTTCCCTGCATATGGTCTGAGACAGAAGAATGTGTATTGGGCTTATTTCTCTCTCTCTTGAGACGTGAGGTCGGAGCAACAACATCAGTGTCAGAATTCTCCTCTGGGAGAGCAAACACAATGGGAAGAGAGGAATGAGAACAACCTAAATACTGGTGCTTGCTTTTGAGCTGCTGGTTTTCAAGGTGGTTAGTACAAATTGGTGGAGAGGACCTGGAAGTTTCTCTAGTGTTGTGACTGGAGGATGTGTACATGGACTTCATTATTTTCCTCCTTCTTTTGGGAAGAATTATATTAATCAATATATTCTGTTTCTTACTCATATATTTGACCTTTATTTCTTTTTCTACAATGCTTACTTTCAGAGAAGGGCTCTCAGTTCTGGCAATTTTTTGTTCATTTTCAAATGGCACCTCAGGTTTTAAAACTTCTTCTGAGATATTCTTGTATTTCGGAAAGCAGCGCTTACACGTGTAGCATCTCCTAATGCGCCTGATGGAGTAATGCTGCTGACATGTTGGACATCTCTTTTTTGTTGGGAATTGTGCAGCTGTTTTACAGAAAATGCTTTTATTGATTTCTACTTGCACATTGAAAGCCCTACAGTTGACTTCTGTAATAAATTTTCCTTTTGCAGGTTTAAAAGCTTCTACTGTGCTTGGGCAATCCCGTAGAATAATTTTTCCTGATAACGATTTTTCAGAGTCATTAAACATGACCATTGGTAAGATGTTCTCTAGCTGATGGGAGACAGCCAACGAAGGAACATCATTTTCCTTCCTGCTGTGTATTTTGCTGTCAGATGAAGATTGTTTCTTATCTTTAGGGAGAAGAGAGGAATTCTGTTTTCCATCCATAGAAGCAGATGTAGGTTCATTGCCACTTCCCTTAGATTTCCCTAACGTCCTAGCCGGATGAAACACAGTCTCTGAAGTGCTTCCTTTTACTTCCTTGTCAAGATCTTTGTGGGTTTTTTGACCTGCTTGACCAGATGGCTGAGAAGTACCTAAAGAGGAAGGAAAAAGAAAAAAAAAAGTTTCTACCATCCAATTAAATAGCAGATACTCCAAACCCCATAATGGAATGCAATGAATATCTTTTGTAAGAATTGGGGGGGAGAGGTTAACAGTTTTAATTAATTTCTAGTATGACAAGTTAATTTCCACACGTTTTATTTTTCATTTTAAACTAATTCTCTAAGAGCACAGAAGATCATCTACTAGCTTAGAAAATAAAAATTAATTTAATTATATAAAATGATTAAAATGAGCAAAATGAGAGTTTAAAAAATATGCAAGTTAGTTTAAATGCACATTCTTGATAAAAAGCACTTTGTCAGGACTGGTTGTGTAGCAGACTGTAGCATGATAGTACAGCATTCTACAGGCTACCTCAACTCCATGTAACTTTGAGATTGTACCAGAAAGAGGATGACAGAGAATGAAAGATAAAGCTCTACTTTTCTAGATTAATCTGCATCTGAAGGTTACTGATTGAAGGAAATGGAAATTGTGAACAATTACGATGTCATACAAATCAATAAAGTAAAATGTTGTCATCAATTTATTTTAAATTTAATGAATTTAAATATGGTATATGTATATATAATATAAGAAGCAACGCTGTAAATACTTGTATAGAGAGTAAATATATTTGGTTTAACAGGAGAAGGAAAATACTAAGCATACTCATGTACTTAGAGAACCAAACCATTTCAATTTGCTTCCCTTTTAGCCTGAAGGAAGGGCTTTTCTCTGGCAGGCTGTTCCAGTGAGTCTTGTTATAATCTGAGAGTTGTAATGTGTAAATCAAGGAGGAAAGACATAGAAACCTACCTCTCTAAAGCTCCTTTGCAACAGAGGACTACCATGATAATAGTTTATGGAATAATAAGTTTCCTTCCATGACTGGAGCTTATCATGTGTTCTTAAAATAACACTTTCATGCCAAGAGCTGTTAAGTCATAGCCTCTTCCTAAGTCATAGCCTCTCTGATTACATTGTATAGCACTTTGCAACTGACTATACTTTAAGATCTACAAAACCATGGAACTTCATTTAATATAATTTTTCCAACTTCATTTAATATAATTTTGTATTTATATAATATAGTCTTTCCATTTCCTTACGAATGATGCAATATCATTCTTTCTGATGGAAGCATAGAATTTGATTGTGAACATATACCACATTTTTTTGATCCATTTATCCACTGAGGGGCATTAGGGTTGATTCTGTATCTTGGCTATACTAAACAATACTGCATGAATTTGGTAGTGCTGGTAGCTTTAGTGTGGCTTTTTTTTGTGGTCATTTGGATAAATGCCCAGGAGTGGAATTACTGGGTCATAGGGAAGCTCCATACTGCTTTCCAGAGTGGCTGAACAAGTTTACACTCCTACCAATAATGTAGTAGCATTCCCTTTTGGCCACAATCCCACCAGCATCTGTTATTATTATAATAGCCATTTCTGTGCTCCCCCTTATCCTCCCCAAAACAGATAAACTTACATATAAGACAAAAGGTACACAAATTACAAACAGTGACAAAGGAGAGGGAGAAAAAAGCAAAGTAACAAAAAAACCTCTTGTTTCCATTTCTTGGAGTTCATTTGGATAAACATTATTTTATATGATCATATGCACATGGCTATTATAATGGCTATTATAACTGAGGTGAGATAGAATGTCAATGTTGTTTTGAGTTGCATTTCTTTTATGGCCATGGATGTTGAACATTTCTTCATGTATTAATTGAAGTAAAAGAGACCCCAAGAAGCTTGCATGGTTTTTCTCATTTGTAGTAATTAGAATGTGACTATAAATTTGTGTATCTTTTGTCTTGTATGTAAGTTTATCTGTTTTGGGGAGTATTAGCAGGAGCACAGAAATGGTGTGAGAAAGGTGAACAAATGCAGAAGTGATAAGCATTAGACACTATGTTGAAAATGAGCTATACAATTTGCGGGAGCAAGGAATCAGGAGGGAAAAAATGGATAGAACACAAGGAAAGAGAGGTGACACTGTTCAAAAAGAAATGTACTCATTACCTGACTTATATAACTGTAACCCCTCTGTACATCACCTTTACAATAAAAATAAAAACAATAAAATAAAAAGAACATGGAACTGAGAAAGGTGGATAATACTGCACTAAAAACAGATCCTTAGAATAGTGATACTATGTCTAAATATGTAAATATTTACATTTATTCATAATACCAATAATGCAGAATGTGTATTTGTAACACCAAGTCAAAGTTCAAGATGCTTCTATACCATTTACATGTATTTATCTTCTTTTTTCACAGGATAAAGGACAAGGTAGGTAGCATGTTAGTTCACTCTATGCTTACTTCTGAAGGCATTTAAATGGACTTACATGCTGTGGCATTCAGCATTTTCCATTTTCTATATGCTTTTCTTCTCTTCCTCCTCATTTTGGGGAGTGATGGGTGTTCAATTCTGACTGACCTTGGAAAGCATAAAAATTGAAACCATATTACGCAGAAATTTAGGTTTGACCAAACTACTAATGAACTCATCTACTATCTCATCAGCATAGTTCTTTTCTCTGATTTCCTCTATGTATTTTTTCAAATATTTTACCAGCATAATTATACTTTCCTTTCCTGTTCATTTACCTCTCAATTAGTTAATGCATTCTTATGTGCATGTACAAATTTCAACATGTAGATATACACATACACAGGTTTGTAAATAATATATGTGACATTTAGGATAGAAGTTTTCCTAGAATTATACAGTTATTGCAATAAGGGAAACCATGGGACCTATGGTTCTTTGGGCCTGGCTTACCTCACTTAATATAATCTTTTCCAAGTCTTTCCAAGTCTAGAACAAGCAGAAAAAGTCAAAAGCTATGTACATGTGATCATATAAAATGATGTTAAGCATAGCCGGGCGCTGGTGGCTCACGCCTGTAATCCTAGCTACTCAGGAGGCTGAGATCTGAGGATCACTGTTCAAAGCCAGCCCGGGCAAGGAAACTCGGTGAAACTCTTATCTCGAATAAACCACCAGAAAACCGGAAGTGGCGCTGTAGCTCAAGTGGTACAATGCTTGCCTTCAGCTAAAGAGCTGAGGGACAGTGCCCAGGCCCAGAGTTCAAGCCCCGCGACCAACACTACCACCACCACCACCACCACCAACGACAACAACAAAAAGATGATGTTAAGTGAAATGAACCCCAAGATAGGGACACAAGTGTTTTTTTCTTTCTTGTTATTGTTTTTGAAAGTATTTAAAATGTTTATCTTGTAAGTTCTTTCCCTACAGTATAACCCCTGTTTTCACTGTATTTGATGTCGGTGCCCTGCATCTTGTATATACATTTTTCTGATTTGGGGAGGGGAAGGGAAATAACAAAATGCTGAAATAAGGATACAGGTTGACTCAGTGTAACAATGAGATGTACAAGACACTATGTTGAAAACAAACCTTACATCTTGGGGGGCGTGGGGAGGGCGGAGTTGGGGAGGTGGGGAGGGTAGGGATAGTAGGGAAAAAACAAAGAAGGAGGTAAGAAAGCTTGATAGGAAATATACTCATTACCTTACTCATGTAACTGTAACCCCTCTGTACAGTATTTTTACAATAAAAACAAATTGGGATACAGGTGGACCCATTGCAACAAAGAGATGTACAAGTCGTTATGTCGAAAAACGAACTTTACAACTTTGGTGGGGGGCAGGGAGGATAATTGGGTAGGGGGGCGGGGGGAGGATGGGAAGGGATGGGAAGGGGAAACAAAGGAGGAGGCTACAATGCTTGATAAGAAACGTACTCATTATCTTGCCCATGTAATTGTAAGCCCTCTGTACAGTATTTTCACAATAATAAAAAAAAAGAAGTTGTAAAATCATGTAACTTAACTTGATTTTGTGTCTTTTTTTGGTTGATCATGGGGCTTGAATCTTGGGATTGGGCACTGTCCCTAAGCTCTTCAGCTCAAGGCAAGCACTCTACTACTTGAGCCACAGTGCTACTTCTGGTTTTCTGGTAGTTAATTGGAGTTAAGAATCTCACAGACTTTCCTGCCCAGGCTGGCTTTGAACCGTGATCCTCCCAACTCAGCCTCCTGAGTTGCTAGGGATTAGAGGTGTGAGCCACAGGTGCCCAGCTTGGTCATTTTTAAAAATTATTTTTATAGAAATGTGTAATTTTTTGTGAAGTTGACCTAAATTTAATATAATCAGATTTGTAGTCATATTAAATTAAATGGGAATAGGAAGGTGAAGAGAGCAATAATAATTAAAATGGGGTATGAATGTCAAAAGGCATGGTCTGTGGGGAGTTGATTAGCAGGAGTGAGCAGGGGAAAAGCAAAGATACAGAGTTAATGGAAAACAGAGGGGGCACCAGTTGTGCATGCCTGTAACCCTAGCTACTCAAGTGGTTGAAATCTGTGGATCGTGGTTAAACACCAGCCTGGGTAGAAAAGTTCTAGTGAGACTCTTATCTCCAATTAATGCCTCAAACACACACACACACACACTCACACACAAATCCTAAACACACACACACACACACACACACACACACACACACACACACAAATGCAAGTGGAGCAAAAGAGCTCAGAAACAGTGCCCAGGCCCCAAGTTCAAGCCCCATCACCAACAAAAATAAAATAAAATAAACAAAACCCCAAAGAATATCACATATTAAACACTTATGCATAATTATATACATGCATAATGAATCTTTATATATATTAATGTATAATGAATCTTACCACTGTTTGAAAATTGTGGGAAAGGAGAGGGAGGGAGAATGGAAATATCAAGAAGTAAAAGTGTTCAAAGTACACTGTTTGCCTGTAAGGAATTATACAATAAATCCTTTCTATTATTAACATATGATAATTTCTTCCCTTTAATGCAATAATAATTTTTGTCTTCTGATCTATCAATCCATCTATGGTCACGTGTCTCTGTTCACTGTGGTAGTAATTCAGCTTAAAGGCTTTATCTATATTTTCTACATCTACTTTCTTATCAACTTTCTGTCATCAACTTTCAGGAACCACTCTATGAATGCTGTCCAGTCCACTGAGTGGTCTTTTAGTCAAGGGCCCATTAATTCCAGATTTCTAAAGCCAATAATTTATTTTTAACTTTTTTGAGTTTTACAAAATATAACCACTCAATTCAAGCTGCATCCATTTCTTCCTTTTAATTCCGTGGAGCTACACTCTCCTGGTCCTTGTTCTGCTCTGTTAGCCTTTTTGTGTTGTTGTTGCTGTTGGTGTTTTGTGCCAGTTCTGAGGCTTGAACTCTGGGCCTGAGCACTGTCCCTGGGTTCTTGTGTTCAAGGTTAGCTCTACCACTTAAGCTTCAGTTCTACTTCTGGAAAGAAGAGTCTCACAGACTTTCCTGCCTGGTCTAGCTTCCAAATACAATCCAGATCTCAGCCTCCTGTGTAGTTGGGATTTACAGGCGTGGGCCACAGGCATGGAGCAGAAGTAGTATTATTTTTAAAAGAATATATAAACCATCTCCATTTGTTTTTAGAGTTTATGTTTACTCTACTTAAAGGGAAGGAGATCTCCTTATCTCTCTTTACCCTAAAAAGCTAACCTACATTCGTCAGGGTTGTATATATCTTCTCTTAGGTCTGAGTCCTCAAGGCTAGTACTCGATCACGTGAGCCACAGCCCCACTGGTAGCTAATTGGAGGTAAGAGTCTCACAGACTTTCCTGCTCAGGCTGGCTTCCACTCAGACTCCTCAGATGTTAGCCTCCTAAGTAGCTAGGATTACAGGTATGAACCAGTAGCACCAGGCACCGTCAGCCATTCTTAATGCATTTTTCTCTTGGCAAGTCTCTAAACTTTGCTATCTGCAGGGTTTTTCAATTCTTCATCAACTCTCTTCCTAGGAAATCTTGTGTTCATGGCTATAAAATAACTTGCAAAAATGACTCTAAAATTCACTATTTTACTATTGATACTCATAACTGTATAAACTCCAAATTCTAGGAACTACCCAGCAGGATGTATATGTATATACATATACATGTGTGTGTCTGCTTGGATATCTAATTGGAATCTCAAATTTACATGCCTGCAGTTGAGTTTATAACCTTTACTTTCTCTAGTTCTTTTCTCCCCTGCATCCTACTAGTTTCAGTCAGGAAAAATTCAACCAATTCAAATCAGACACCTAGAAACCATCCCAGGTATTATCCGTATCTCTTTCCTTTAACTTTCCTCATCCAACCCATCAGCAAATTTGCCCTGATGTGTTTCTGAAAATTTATCATAAACATGTAAATTTATTTTCTCTCAATTGTCAAGCCCCTCTTCTTTCCATCCCCCCCACACATTTGAACACAGTTTTAAATGTGGACTACTGAAATACTTTACCTGTTTTTTCTATATTAATGTTAGTTGAGAATTTATGTAGTAGTTGGAGTAATTTTTAAAAGTCTTGTCACCTTTCTTCTTTAAAGCTCTTCAGAAAGCTTCTCATTTACTTGGAAAAAATTCTAAACACCTTACTTTATTATAAATATGCTTAAGATTTAATTTTAATGACAAATGAAATATATCAGACTTTTGGATATACATTAAGGGATCCATTCCACAACAGATTTCTTGGATTTATATTTTTAATAAATGTTTATTTGTTCTTTGTAAAATAGGCAATAAAGCTCAGGGAAGTTACCATGATTGCTATTATAAATCACCAAAATACTATCACATCTGATGCTTTTATATTGGATTTTTCCAAGTGGGCTTTGACTCATTACTATAATTCAGAGAAGAGTGAGGAAAATGTAAATAGGAAGCACTAACAATATCTTTCTACTGCAGAATTACATAGTGGTACCATTTTTTTTCTGAGAAAACTATTGGGGAGTAAAGAGGTTTTATAAAAGGAATTGTTAAAAAATTTTACTGGTGCCATGTTTTTGACAAATTGCTTAAAAATCCTCTATTGTGTTGCTGAGCTGAAACACCTTCCTGGAAATACTGAAAGATAAGGTTCTATTACAACAAAGGAGAAAGATGCACAAAAGGTAGATAATTATTATTATTAAAATTCTAATACATAAATACAGATGGTTAAATGCTTAACTTTCCAGGTAGCACCTCACCCAGTGTTCTTCGGAATCCAGATGGCTTCAGTTTTCTTTAGAATTGGAAAGAAATCAGTGTTTTTCTTATTTTATTTTCTTGATTGCCACACAAGGTTTATGTCCTCTGCACTAAATTTTAAAAGAAACTTCAAATAGGTAAAACAAATAGCAAAAAATTTAAGCTTAAAATATTTTTAATGCTTTTTTATTGTAAAAATATTGTACAGAGGGGTTACAGTTACGTGAGAAAGGCATTGAGTACATTGTTTCTAATGTTCTAATTTTTTCATTCCAAAATTTTCACTTATTTTTGAAAGTATGCTTAGACTGTAGAAATTTTTCTTCTACTTGCTTTCCTAATTTGACTAGCATGAAATTTAAACTATGTTCTTCTGTTCTTAAAACTATTACTTACGCACATAAGAAGAGTTATAATGGAAAATAAGTTTTCAATATTACCCATATATCACTTCAGACTTGCATTCGAGTTGTATAGGGTTGTAAGAATGAAATGTTTCAAATTTAGGGGCTATGACATAATTCTTAGTAGTTTTCTAGTATCTTGAAACTATGCAACCTTATATTTCAGTGCCTATTTAATGTTTTCCTTTATTCTACTTCTTACCCTTAGTTGAAAAACACTGAAGTGAATTTATTTACATCTATGTTTATATACAGTTATGTGATAAAATGTTCATAATCACTAGGTCATTCTTTGACCTACTGTTATATCTGATACAACAGACATACTGTTGTATGTCTTATGTCTATCTGCAAAAGGGACCTTTGCTGGTCATTGGAACATAAATCTGATAATATTTTAAGTCTAGAGAGTACTTCAATACCATAATAATTATTGAGATGTCATCATCTTATTTGACCTATAATTTATTTAATATAACTTAGTTGGATGAGGTTAATTCTGGAGATAAGAAGCCTATCCTATGTAAATTAAGTCAGAATATCTGATTAGGAAAGAAGAAAATGCTGGCTGGTTAAAAAAAGATGTGAGGTAGGGAATCTTATTATCTAAATGTTTTAAAGAACACATTAATATATGTAAAAAATAAGGATTTTATTTAGTGGCATTTGATATATTAGGTAATACTAGGAAGAAAAGAATCAAGCAAAAATGAAAATCTCAGCCGGGCGCTGGTGGCTCACGCCTGGAATCCTAACTACTCAGCCTTGAGCTGAAGAGCTGAGGGACAGTGCCCAGGCTCAGAGTTCAAGCCCCACGACCGACAAGAAAAAAAAAAAAAAATTAAAATCTCTATGGTTCCAAAGCATCTTCTTTTGTTTGAATGAAGATGTGTGTGTGTGTGTGTGTGTGTGAGAGAGAGAGAGAGAGAGAGAGAGAGAGAGAGAGAGAGAGAGAGAGAGGACAGACAGACAGACAGACAGAGAAAAAGACAGAGACAGAGACAGCTCCTTATCCTTCACTTCTCATCAGAGGAAAATAAGAAATATAGCAAATTATTCAAAGAGGCAAGGTACTGAAATGTTGGTTTTGTCTCCAACATTTCAGTTTCTGAAAGTAAAGAATTTTCTTACTTATTTGAAAATCACTCTAATAAATATATAGAGTCTCCCTCCACATTTAAAAGAGTTGCAGGAGCACTCTTTTTCCTCTTTTTTTTTTTTTTTTTAAGATGGACTGATTCTGGGAAACAGAAGTTTCATTACAATATAGAAAGCACAACGTACTTTTAACAGAGGAAGCCTGAACATTTGTCATGCTAAACTATGCACTAGATTCTAAGTGGATTGATGTAAAATGTGAATGTAACACAAATTTCAAGGATTTTACAGTTCTGGAATTCTCATATTTGAGTGTATCTCCAAAAGTTAGCCATATGTTAAAAATGAAGATACAGAGCCTCATCCTAGATATTCAGGATCCAGGTACACACATTTTAATATAGAATGCAATTTTAATGAAGAATGCAAAGTTCTAAGCTCAAGCCTCAGTAGTGTCATAAAAGGAGAGAAAATTGCCACTGAAGACACATTTGGATAGGCAGAAGGAAAATTCATTCAGAACATTTTCGAAAGCTTTTTTTTTCTTAATATATTTGAAAGCTTTAAGACTTTAGGAAATATACTATGAATTCAATTTCACTTAATTTTACCTTGCTTCCTTACTCTCATTGCACAAATGCTGCATGCTAAGATTTGGATTTTATATTTTATTGCTTTGGTTTAAGAACAGATTCTTCCTATATAAACAAGCTTCTAGAAAAAGAATCTTAGTGAGTATTCACATTTTTTCTGCAGCCTAATCAATGTAAAGAGAATGTTTTAATCTTAAGTGTCAGCTCCCCAGTGTCCATTCATCTCTTCGTAACCACGAGTTGTGATTAGAAAAAAAAAAAGAATCCAACAAACCAAATTAGCAGGCTAGGCTTGCTAGAAGGGAAAAAAATCATTTGTTTCTTTTTAATGCTTCTGTTGATATATATTGAGCTACTCAGACTCAAAGAACTCCTATCCGTTGGTTTTAGCTGAAAGGGAGAACTGAAATTTTGGCAAGTTACAGTTTAGTGGAAAGAGGGTACAAAGGTGAAAGGATGAATGAGTTAACAAAACTTTGATTTTTCTATTAATGGTGAAACACTTTTCTACCCATCTCCTTAGTTCTCCATGCTGTTAAGAAAGCACCTCCAAAGAGAGTATCTTGCTAGCACTGAACCAGATCCCTGAGTATTCACAGTTGACTTGATTCAATGGTGATTCAAAGGGGAAATACTTTGAGGTGTGACAAAGTAAACAGCCCTGTGTAGACAGCTTTAGTTTATTCCAAACTTTTGAGGAATTACTGGAATTACAGGCCAAAGCAGAGGATCCATGAATGCTAAGATCTTGTTCACCTTATATTTAGATATGTTTTCATTCTATCTGTGTGAGCCATGCCCTATCCTTTGCTAGGTAGTTTTCCAGTTCATTAAATGTTTTACTTTAGTTTTTGACAGAAAATATGCTATTCTGGATTTATATATAATGTCTATTAAACCAAGATAATCATCAAAAGAAATACTTTGTACTACTCAAAATCATTTTGCATACCAATGTTAGAGTACATCTCTCTACTTGGAAAATGGAGTCATAGTCTGTGTACTTGCTGTTATTAAATACTAGATCAGCATGCCATTATTAAACTGCAAGTCTCAGAGAATTGTACTTTGCTTTGCTTCATTTCCTCTCTGGCACTGGAGTGGCTAGTATAGTGCAAATTAGCTAATCTCACATGCAGAAGGATGTGTGAATTAAACAACATCACACTAAGGAGGAATCACTTTATGATTACAGCTAGAACACTAGCTACTTCTAAAGAGTTTTCTAAATTACTGCATGCAAAAATCTGTAATTCTCTTACCCTGATCTTGACCAGTAAAAGGACTTTCTGAAAGCATCTTGAGGAACCCATTCCTAAAATGTACTCAGTCCTCCGTCAAATTTTACATATTCTCTATTGACTAATTATAATGTCTAGAGGATGAGGTAATTGCATTTCAACTTAATTAAAATAGTAAAAAGTTAAAAAAAAGCACTGATATATATATACATACCCACATCTAATCTCTATCTATCTATCTATCTACCTACCTACCTACCTACCTGCTACCTACCTATATTACTAGACACCTTGTAAAGGGAACCGGTACAAAAACCTAATTGAATAAGTCACAGATACTAGTGTTTTCTGTTAAAGAATTTACCAGGTTATTAATTAAAGAATGCTTTTTCATGCTGTCTTCTTTCTCTTATTGAAGTGGAGTCATAGTACTTCAGTAACCACACAATAGAAGCTTTGATAAGACATAATAATTGGTGAATTGTCAACTCTTGCTGGGTTTAAATGATAGCCTCCTAATTTTCAAATATTCAACCTTATTAAAGAAGTAATATTTTAATATCCTGTGTCTCCATCTTCATACAAAAACTTTTGTATTTCTTCCAAAACATGAAACCTCTGTGGCTATGAGGTTATATTACTGCTCAGAAGAAAATTCTGTACAATTCTGTTACAGCTAAGAGCTTTCAATTACTCAGAGCAGAACCTGTAATATCTTCATTCCTTTCTAGCTCAAGGAAACTCATACATAACTACATTGCTAAAGAATAATGAAAATATCAAGGAAATCTTAATAAATATTCAAATACTTCTTGATCCCCAATCAGGGCTATGCATTGCTCATTTTAGCCTAAGTAATATGTTATTTCCTCATCACCAGTTTTTAAAAGAAAATAGTAAAAGAGTGAGTTGGAATATTTTACTGATACTTGGGTAGTTTCTGCTCAAAGGAAGTAAAGCCTGCTCCCTAAAAGTCAGTGAGACCCCCATCTCAGTGATAACAAGAAATAATTCTAGATGGAATAGTACACACCTGTATCTCCAGCTATGCAGGAGTAGGAGGATACTGTGGGTGAAGTCAGGAGGATATAAATAGGATGCACTGGAGGATGGCTAGAGGTTGGCCATGAGTAAAAAGCAGAGCATGAGATCCTGCCTACAAAATAACTAAAGAAAAGCTAAATGGTAGAGACTAGAAAGTGCAAAGCCTTTTTGAGTTCTTATTGTGGCATTGCCATGAAACAAAAACAAAAACAACAACAACAAAAAAAGCACACAAAGTTTTAGTTGCAATGCAAATGCAGCAACTACTTATCAAAACAAATATTTAATGTGCTTTGGACAATGTCATACCTCATAATACTAGGTAACATAAATGATCTTCAATTTATTTGTGTCATTTTTAAATAAAATACCCGATAAGAATATGAACCCAAGACATAAAACTCCAAAGATGCTTCAATCAAAAGATTTTAAAGAAATCTCAAGTTCTTCTACAATTGCCATTTTAAAGCATTTTCTAATTCATGTTTCTCACTGAATTTCTGTTGCTTAATTAAGCTAATGCATGTTTTTTGAAATCCAGAAAAAGGCATTTATTTAAAAATGTATATGCCTGATACTTTCTTCTGACCTTCTTTCTATGTAGCTTGAGCTACTGACTGCTTTGATATTTTCCTACTGCCATAAAAAAGTTTGCAA